CAGCAGATGTATCTCAAACCAGACTGGTTCTTTTTATATCTCCTGCCACCTATTGCGCTTGATGCTGGTTATTTTATGCCTAATAAAGACTTTTTCAGGTTATCATTTATATTCTTTACTTTTGTCAGTCTTCCTGAGAGTCCTTTACTCTTTTACAGTTTCATTAGTTTTCAATTATAGGAATTTTGGAACTATAATGACTTATGCAGTTCTTGGAACGTTGTGGAATGTCTTCTCTATCGGTAATTTCTAATTTGTAAATAATGTCATTACATTAGCGTATTAAAACTTCCTTGTTTCTCCTGATGTTTTCCCGTCTGCATAGGTATTGCATCCAAATTTCTTTTCAGGAATGACACTATATTTTTTACATGACTGCTTCAAAGTGCATACTTCACTGATCGAAATGTTCCTTTTTTCGACGTTGATATCCGCTGTGGATCCAGTGGCTGTCCTTTGTGTATTTGAAGAAATTCATGTTAACCAACTACTTTATATCTGTGTGTTTGGTGAATCACTGTTAAACGACGCCGTAACAATTGTAAGATTTTGAATATTGAGCAGAAATAGTTGTTTCCAAACCCTTTGAACAATGGTGGAAGACTGCAGAATTCTGATATGTAGATTTATAGTAATTGGCCGAGAAAATTATCACTTTAAGTAATTGGAACTAAATTTTGAGGTGCTTTATCAAACCTTCAATGCTATGGTGGATGCACGTACTCTTACGGGTGCAGATTATGCTACAGCTGCTTCTTCATTTTTTGTTGTTTCATTTGGTGGTTTATTAATTGGACTGATTTGGGCTATTCTTACAGGCTTTACAACCAAGTAATTTATCTTTAATGTTTTGGAGTGTAGATACACGTGAAGTTGCCATTTGCAAGTTTACTTTTGTTATTTCATTGACAAGTCACTCATGACTTCTAGTTCAAATAAATGAAGTGACTCATAGTCTATAGTTCTGTATAGAATACATTTCTTGTGTGTAATTTTACAGAAGAAACCTGCTTTCCAGGCACTCTCAGCATCTGAATGTTGTCCAACCACTAATATGTTTGCTTTTTCCATACCTTGCGTACTTGACAGCAGAAATGGTCGCTATGTCCGGCATTTTAGCGTTCGTTTATAGCTCAATATTTATTTTGTTCAATAAAAACTAGCCATAATTTTGAATTATAATTATAGTTTTTGATTTACAGAATCGTTATATGTGGACTAACCATGAAGCAGTTTGTTGTCGGCAATTTGTCGCGAAAATCTCTCGTTACTGTGCAATACTTTATGAAAACACTCTCATCAAGGTTTAATTTTTATAAATTTAGATTTCAATTCTGACATAAACTTACTTCTGATATTGGTTAAGCAGATAGACATAAATCTTTAGGTTTTTAGTTGTGAAGCTCTAATTTTCGTTTATCTCGGCATATCAGCTGTTTCAAAGAATCATGATTGGGATGCCGTGTTTATTGTTGGCACTTTAATCAGTTGTCTTGTTCAGCGATTCATCGGTATAACGTTTCTTTTTCCTTTGTTTAAAAAAAATGTAGAAGAATTAAATATTTACTGATAAATTAATAAAGTTGGTAACTCACGTAACTGGTATACAATTTTCTGATAATTAGATGAAATATATCGTTTTATATTTCTCTTTTTTACATGTTTCTGTTCATTTTCTTCAGGAGTTTTCTTTCTCACGTATGTTTTAAATATACATCGAGTGCAGAAAATTGACCTGGTTGATCAATTTATCATGAGTTACGGCGGTATTCGAGGTGCTGTATGTTATGGCCTTGTTATGTCGCTTGACCCTTCAGTTAGTTTATTTTCAATCCAGTTTGTTGTATCTTGATTCATATTGTTTCTGTCTCGTATTTCCTTGTCGTAGTTGTTTTTCTCTCATTAATAATATATGCTTCACTTCCTCATACCATAAAAAGCAGGTAGTGAAGTTGATTACACATCTATAAATTAAAAAAATAACGTTCAAAATCATATTCTTTTGTCTTCTACAATATTCATCTTCGATTTCTTTTTCTGCTTATCAGTGGACATAATTTTGTACAACGCTGTTGTATCTCACTAATCCGGACTTAAAAATTTTGTTGCTGGTTGAATCAAGATTGTTTTGAAGAAAAATTCCAGGCAGTGAAGGCTAAAAACATGTTCGCATCCTGTACTGTTGTTGTCATATTATTTACTGTTTTTGTACAGGTATATTAAGTCGCATTTTTAAAATACATTAGATTTTGTTATTTTTATCAAAAAATTAGTTGGAATTTCTCAGTATCAACAACATATAAACGTAAGAAAAATATCGTGCTGAAGAATATATTCTTTAATTACGTTTAGTTCTCCACTTCAAACAGTTTCATTGATAGGGTGGAACAATCAAACAGCTAGTGAAATTATTAAAAGTTAAACAAAACGAAGTGCACAAGAAAACTGTTTTTGAAATGGTCAGCGAAAATGTATGTTTTATGAAAAACTTTTAAAACTTTTCTTCGGACCTGATAATTTTTCTCGTTATTTCTTAATTGTTTTTCTAATAGCGTGAAATGCTAACATTATTATTTGTATGTTTTATTAAGGTGATCAACAATATGATGGCTGGTGTAGAAGGAATAACTGGTTATCATGGACAATATTGGGTAGGCTTTTCTTTCCATTTCCTCTGTTTTAAAATTGCTTTGTTTCTATCAAACTTCTCTGCACTGCACAAAAAAATTTTTCAGTATCGTCAAGCATTCAATAAGTTTACGGAGAATTACGTGAAACCGTATTTAATGAGTAATGCAAAATCTGGAGCGGATCGTCTAATTGATTATCACGAACATATTCAGGTAAAATGCTATTAGTTGGTTTCAGATTTATTTAGTTTTTATTCTTATCATTGTAATTTGTTTTTAGGTAAAAGAAGCAGTTCAGCATCTAAAAGTACATGGTAGTTTTGTCGGTTTGCCAACCGCGCAAAGTAAAGTGAATTTAGAACAAGCGACGACTGAAACCAAGCAACCACTGGTCGTGGGCGATCAGTAAGCGTGCTTATTTGTGCATACTAACACTACTTTTTTTCATACTTTCAAAAGAAATACTGCCAAACTGCAAAGTTAGCTGAAAGATTCCGTTAATTAGTTGATAGAATTTAACCAAACAGATGTGCATATAGTAAAATTCCCAGGAAATACACAAGAAGCAATCTGGAAGCCAACGGTTTAACTACGTCGGCTGAAATACGAATGAAAATTCCTCGTAATGAATCAATCAGCATATTTCTAAGAGATAAATTCAATGAGCTCAATTCGGTATTAGTTTTTCGGCATTTACTAGTCATTTATGTTTTTCTTATTAATCATCCTCTTAGGTCAATTATTTTTTGGAAACTGATCAAAAAGACTGGTAATAATCAATTCAGATTTATAGGACGTAGCGTGCTTTGTTAGCATGTGCCATTGTTTGAAGATTTTTTTTTTCAGCCTGTATCAACTGGTGTTTATAGCCGACATTTGTTAGATGTTGATAATACACCACGTGCATCTTCCAAACGGCAGGATTTTTACAAAGTTTGTTTGTTTCCAGTTTATTTCTTACTTTTTGTGCGGAAAATATTGCTGATGTCACCAACGTGTTCACTTTGTGCATTCTATTAAAACTAGTATTTAAAAAACTGTAATTCAACAGAATCGTTAAATTTATCTATTATAAATAATGATACTATTGCAATGTGTTTACTCCCTGAAAATAAATTAGTATTGCGTATAATTTTGTTTATTATAGTAGTTTCGGGAATTATTTAAATAATTTTACGCTTTGATGATAGTGGTATATAAATCATATATATAATTTACTGAACCTTGAAGGAATTTTAATTTATAGGGTAGTTCATTTGACGCACTTGATAGCGAGGCATATAATATGACTTATCCATACTGCAAAAATACTCGCATAAGGCGACAGACAGCGTACGATGTTGCTAATTCCGATCAAACAGATAAACATCCGAGAAAGACTACCATCGCGTTGCATAGAAATTCTGACAGTGATGCACTTACTTTCAGAATCGATTCTTGTATGATTTTGCTATATTTCCATGTTGTAAAAAAAGTTCAAATTTTAGTGCAATAATTCTTTAGTTAAAATATCAAATTCGCTCAGACATTTTCCTCATTTTGTTATTCTGTTGCACATTGCAGCGAGCTTTTTTTGGATTCATCTCTCAAATCGTTTTCATGATCATAAATACGAACTTTTCAGTAAAACCTCGTTTTTTGATTACTAGCGAATCTAATCCTGCTTCACCACTCAATACGCCACGTTATTTACACCGAAAGAGTTCCGAACAAGATTTGCAGGAAAGTACGATTTCAGATTTTCACTTTGCATCATGTGGTTGGTTTTTATTATATTTTATGAAGTATTTGCACTAGAAAAATTGACGAGATAAGCTTTAATTTATTTGTTCAGTTTAGTGATTGAAACGAACATTGGTAGGAAGTCGTCATTCTCTAATCTGGTATTACCCGGCGAAACAATTATCGGTAAACCTTATAATTGGGGAAATTTACTTTTTTTTGAAAAATTATCTACAAAATTTTTAAGTAAGCTCATTGAGTGAGCCTCCTCTTCGAAAGCATACTACCTCTTTTTATCTTTATTTAAGTCTCCAATAAACTCGTGAATCTGCACCAATTCAGAAAAATTACAATTGGAAGAAAGACCGAGGAAGCTCTCAGCAGGTCTCAAAGCCTCTTTAGCGAAAGAAGCAAGCGAGAAAACTACTTTATCACCAGTGCATGAAGACGATGAAAATACTGGCTCACCTAGCAACGAACGAAGCAAATCCAGCTGAAATTGGTAGAATGAGATCATTTCGACTTGATTGATTCAGCTTTTGAAAAGTATTTGCTGAAGTTTCTTAGGAATTCAGAATTTTTAATTATAATATGCTGAAAGAGCATAAATTATTATCGAAGCATTCTGCGTCACTTTGGATTGTGCATTTCTTTTAATTTCCAATATTTTATATTCTAAATAGTCTGTAAGTTATTTTCTTTCTAAATGCTAAATTCACTTTTGATTAAATCAAAAAATAAGCTTGAGTGAAATGATATGTATTCATGGGATGAAAATTCTAAAAGTCAACTATTAGTTTTCGGCAATCATTGTAAATAATATTTGGTTTGTAAATGATGGATATAAAATATTTTGGATCTGTTTCTGGTGGCTATTCGAATATAAATGGGTTTTTTAACTTATGTTATAGGTAGGGCAATGTTGGATAGCCTGTTATGTCCATTTTTTTCGTCCCTATGAACATGATTAATCTTTTGAAATTAGTCATATAACAAGTTAACAACTTACACTGGTCGGAGTTTTCAGATGAGACTTATTTTTCGTTGAACAAAGTGTGACTTATTGTTTGCATTATATTTATCTCTTTTGTATTTCTAGTGTTTAAGTCTCCATTATTTCCTTGAAATTGGAATTTGTGTGAACTCCGTTGGATTTTACATGCGGATATTGAAAGTAATTGGATTTTGAAGCTTTCTTGCGATATTTTCAGTTAGTCTGAGCTTGATAAACTGCGTAAATTTTGCAAGTGGCATTATTATTCTTTAAAATCTCATTTTCTTAAAATTTTTGTCGAAATTTTATCAACACGAAAAACTTCGACGCGGTATTCTATCATACCATTATTTCAATCCTTTTGTGTGCTCATTGTTAACCACACTGTTTTCATCCACTTAGCAGTGATTTATATTTCTTTCATTTTAGATCTGACTGCTTTTTCTTAAAACTGTTTTTTTTTCTTTTTTACAATTCTTGTGAACTATTTCTCTCTAAAACTCATATTGGTTTGCCTTTTTTGCCTTTGTTGAATATATTACCTCCAGTATCTCTTTCTACTTTAATCACGTGTTCCAATTATTTACTTATGTCTCCTTGCGGTCAAATTTATCAGTGGCCATATCATAAGGTAGACTCAGGGCGAAGTGTAGGTGGATTAAGGTTGTTTGAGATGTGATTATTATCGCTCTAATTTTAGTGATTTGGAAATATGAATTAATGGAAAATCAGGTAAAAAACCAAAAATATTTTTCAGGTTTCACTGCAACGTGAATTTTGGTGTATTTGTATTGAAGGAATAAAAGTTTTCTAGCATAAATAGTAATCAAATCTGTTTAAATAGTCTCAGTTCCTTAGTTCTATATTCCTACCTACAGTGACAATGTCGACTTCTTTCTATTGATACCATTTGAAGTTGTCATAGTAACCCTTTTCAATACCAGTGTCCTTCCTTAAACCTCACACTTTTCATGGAAGTGCTACATAAATATCGCAGTGAATTTTCCCCTCGAACTAAATGATAAGCAGGAGTATTTCCAATTTTAAGCTCTTTTATCATTCAAAATTCTGATCATATTTTTATGCAACATTAAATTTTCTTAACTCAAGCGCAAAATCTAAAATGTTCGAATTGCGGCAAGAAATTTTAATATCGACTGGAAGTGTTTCACATTCGGTTAATAATCTATCAATTTTCTTTCATGAAGTCAAAAGCCTGAAACTCTCTTGTGTAGTACATGAAAATCAGGTTTGTTGCTTTTTCTTCCATCTACTTCTATATTAAAAAAGATGAAATTTAGGTATAACTGAAAATTTCGAGAAAATCCCTACAAATGCTTTGTATCCAGTTATCGGTTCATGTAGCTGTCAATTAAGCCTTTTAATTTTATGATTTAATGTTTAATTTCATTAATGGTTATATTTATATGAATTATTTTCCATGGTATTTCCTCGCTAAATTAATACCTTCCTCTTTTTGCAAAAGCATCGGTTAAGTTCCATTATTAGTTGTCGCCAAATTCCTTCGTAATATTTAATGGCCATAAAACTGCAAATTTAATGGACGCTAGTTGAATTGAATTTTTTTACGATACATCTTTGATCTTCGTGAAACACAACTGCAAATCATTGATATTTGCAGTTTTATGGTAATCCGTATTTGAATGGGTCATTAAATTTTTGAAAAAACTATAGATCTTTGCTGAGTAATTTTTTCGAATGCAACCAACATTAGCGAGGTACAAAGATACATAAAATATACCGGACATTTACAAGTAAAGAAAGCTCAGCTAAAATCTTCAATGGAATAGTTTTATTTATGCTGTCACCAAGAATATAGTAGTGATCTTCTATTGGGGTCAATAATCAATTCCAGATTGCGACATTAAGCTGGGATCAAGACATGAATAATTTCATATGTGATAATCTGCCAATTAAAGATAATGATTCCGATGCACCTATTATCGTATTACAAGCAAAATACTGCATGCCAGTTTGTAGAAGATTTCCTCTTTTGGTTATTGCTACTTCCAAAGGAATAATGGTGATTTTATTGATTTTATCGGTTCTATTTCTGAACTTTCTGAGAACTTTAGTTATATCTTTGTTTTTAATTGGTAATGATGTTGTAGATTTACGATGTGAGAACTTGCAAACTACTTGTATGGAGCAAAATGAATGATGTACGTTCTTTTCATCCCTTCCGTAGTTTCAACTAGTCAGTTAGTATTTCTCACTAAGATTTCCGATTCATCATTCATTATATTTCGTAAGCACTGTTGAAAAAATTTCTTAAATTCATTTTATGTAATTCAGCTTGTTTGTCGACCAGAAACACCTTTTGAGACTTCAAAACCAACAAGACATGAACAAACGTATCGCTTTACAAAAGGAATAACTTATGTGGAAAATTTAATCGTTGTTGGTAATATACATTTTTTTGATTGTAAAGAAAAAAATAAGAATTTAGTTTGGAACGATTTCAATTCAATTTTCAAAATTTTAGCATATTCAAGCTTTGCTTTCAGGATCGTATTCAGGAGAATTGCTGATATTTAGATGCAGTGGTGAAAATTCTGTAACTTTCAAAAGAAGTGTGCAGGTTTCACTTTTTTTATTTATTCATTTATTCATCGGTTTTATTTAAGGATTTAAAGTAGCAGCTATTCTAAAGAAAGTTTCAGGGGCACGACTTTGCCGTAACAGATGTAGCTACTTGTCATTTCGATGATTTAACATGCTCTTGTGATGTTTCGGGAAATATCGCTGTTTGGGTCAAGAATTTCAAAAGTGCTCGGAAAAAATTTAGCACGGGGTAAGTAGTTTTATGGTTTGTATTTTTTCTTTAAAATGCTCGTATCTAACTTCAAAACTTGATGAAGTTGTTAAAATTTTGACCTAATTGTTCATAACATGCTTTGAATTTGCACAATTCTGTTGCATGTTAAAAAGAGAACACATGGAGGTAAGCCATACTTAATCTACCAGGCATGAAGTCAACTGCATTAATGTCCTGAAAAAGCAAGTCATTATTGGTACATTCGCCGGTCAGTTATTATTTTACTCGACGTTGAGTGGAGAGTTAATGGCTGAAGTGAATGCACATGTACGTCAAATAAATGCAATTGCTGTAGCTCCAGAAAGTGCTTTTGTAAGGTTTTTGTTTTCTCATGACTGCCTGAAACATATTTGAGTAAAGTGAGTTTGAAATCTATTGATATTTTGGATAAAATTCTATATGATGATTGATTCTGTCAAAGTTCACATTCTAAATGGCCACATATTACCTTGTCGATAATCTTTGTTACCTCGATAAACTTATGGATATGTATATGGCCTTCAACGTTTTTGCAGATTATATCAGTTAGTGATGATACGATGATACGTTTATGGAAGTTACATACTCGTAAGCCTGAAGCTTATAGGGTTCGTTACAATGTCTTAAAAAAATCACTGTCTTCCAAATTATTTTGATCATCCCTTTTCAAAGAAATAATTCGTAGTAGTAATTTCTGGTCAATTTTGAATACATATGGTTTCTAATTTGCTTTTTGAAAAATTGATTTCGATTCAGTTTTATTCTTTTAAACAATTCTGTCTAGAAATACTATACATCGAAATTTTTTCGTATCAATTTTACATTTATTCCCTTTAAAATAAGAAAACTGCTCAGTTTGTTGCTTTTATACGAAAAATTGTTATAGCTTTATTTCTTTTCTTTCCTTTATGTTCGATCCGTTAGCGTTCGTTGCTCTCACACTGTTTCAACTCCAATATTTTAAATTTTCATATATGAGTTATGTTACATTCGTTTGCTTATATCATCTATTTAAAGGTTGAATGGATATTTAACAAACGAGTTGAAAACATGTCGTTGGTGGGTGCGCAGTTTGTCAATAGTCATGGAAGTGGTTTTGTTGTAGCAGCCTATGATTATTCCAAATTACTTTATTATCAAATAGCAAAGAAGTTGTCTGCGGGACAAACGGAATCATGAATTAATATGTTAATAGCGTTTAATTTTCAGATAATTTCTTTAATTCGGATACAATTATCAATTTTTTAAAAATCTTACTGACATTAAATATTCTTTACTGGCAGTTAAGCATTTTCTAGCAAGTAGATCGCCCATCAGTGTGAAGTTGTCATTGTATTAACATTTTTCCATAGAATATAGTCACTGATAAATACAATGAATATGTGAAGGATGCACACATATTCATTTCATCCTTTTCTGCTTCTTCATATCTTCTTACAAAACTGTATCAGAGCATCCACTTATCATATTATATTGTTGTATAAATATTTGTAGAATTGTATTTGGATATTCCATTAATCAGTGCGTACCGAAACGGTGGGATGACGCTATTGTTGTCAAACACAAATAATGCTCCTGCTCGATTTACATGCTCTGGGTGCACCACACAAAACTTCCTGCCTCTCAGTTTTTCGACAAGCCATTCAACAAAGCCCTATACTATGCCACTCTACTGATGTTCGCGTAACCGGTTTTGTACAATTTTCACTACAAATACAATTGACTTTGCAAGTTTGATCAGCTTTGCAAGTTCGTGTCTTATTTTTATCAGTAGGCGTTAACGTCTATACCAGTCGAATATTGTTGATGTTATCGAAAGCCTATCAAGTTAGATGTTTGTCCATCGATATCTCAACATATAGTTGAACTGTAAAGACATTTGCTACTGGATTATTTTAAAATAAGTAAGTTGAATTGAATATAATACAAAGTGATGTAAATGTTTATCCTTTCTCGAAGACTAATATTTGTATTGAAATAGTATTGTTTCGTGCTGAAGTTATATTTTTTCATATCTAATTCTGTAAGGTATTTAACCTTTAAGAAAATATACCGGTGGCGCATTATCATTTTATTAAAATGCTTAGATTGTTTTGCAGCATCACTAGTTTTTGACGACCCCATAATTATTAATAAAAGATGTTTTTTTCCTCCTTTCTACCTTTTCCCTCTTTATTATATCACAATCGCAAACAGTTGTTTTTATAAAAATTCGCAACAAGTTTCAATAGCAAGAGTGAAGGATCTCATAAATATAATAAATCAATGACTAATAAAACGTTGCTTAAAACAGAATGAATAGATCTAAAGAGTGACGAAGTAGCAAAGGAAGTGATGTAAGCAGAAAATGAGAGCAAGCAAATTGTTCATTTCGTGATATATTGAAGCAGAAGATGGCTTGATTCAGATGCTAGCGAGAATTCTTCAAGACATGTGGTGAATATTAAGTTTTCACTCTTCAACATAGTCATACTTTTTCGATGCAAAATCTAGCCTGAATATTCCACTCGTTTGAAAATAACAGTAGCTTTATTGAAGACAAGTAAATAGCGGGGGATTTTAGTCTAACTAAGGAAGTATAATTAGCTGAATCTAATCTATTCCAATTATTAGCTGTTTAATCGATATCAGTTAAAAAAAATTGTTAGACGATTGTTACCATGGGTTTATTTTAAAAAATTGATTCGGAATCTATTTGGTGTCTAGCAGCATTGTCATTACAAAAATAGGTATGCTAGACTGATTGAAGAATTCCAGTCACATTGTTAAAAATATGATAACATATAGAATCAATAGAAGTGAGTGATGAATGGATCATCATAACAGAGAATGGTAAAAGTTTAATTTTGAATAGTTGGTTTCTCCTGAACTTTCATCGTGTTATTATTGCTTATATTGCTTTTCTGTGTTCGATAACTTATCAGTTAAGATGATTTTCAACCTTTTGTAATATTACAATGAAACAATATTTCTGTTAATGTGAATATGATTGTTAATACATTAGTAATAATAGCATAATTAAACACATATTTTAATCTATAAAGGACGATAACAGGGAATATGAACGAATAAAATATTTCTTGGGACTTTTATTGCGGTTGAGATAATTTTTGAATGATCATTTAAATCCAACCTGATATGAAAATACGTAGTTTGTGAATGCCTGAAGAAACACTTTCTAAATTGAGAAATTTATGATCATATATTTTTGGTCATGTTTTTTGTTTCTTCATTCATTCACGTATAACATTCTGATGAAAGATCTCACAAATACAAAATGTAAAAATTGTAAGCTTTTAGTTAAAAACGAATTTAGGCTTACATTTTTTGTAAGAACCGGTCACTTGTTATTTGGCTGCATTTGTGCATGCCTGTTTGCTTTGCCATCAATTTGTATAAGTACAGCAAACGTCAGAATTCTTTATTTTATTCCGTGTTCATATCAAGTACCGCATTGTTTCCTTTCAGTTCAAATAAATGAACCTCGACATTTTTATTTGTTCTTTTTCTGAGGAGATAGACTTTCAATGACGTTTGCAAATCTCAGTTGTTTAGAACTCTCCACTTTCCACATTTTCCCATTTTTCTTTCTGTTAATTCGCGATCTTTTCCCTTCGACCTCTCCTCGGTCTTTTTTCGCAATTTTTCACTGCTATGTACAGCTGCGTGCATTGCAATTAGCAATAAAGTGATTTTTAGCCTTTTCACCTTCCTTCCCCTGAGAGCAGATGCAACTCACACACATGTTTCAATTTCCGTATTTTGTGTTAGAAAATCTGCTAGTTTTCCTTATGCGTCTCATATGAAAGAGAAGCATTTTATTAGAAGCAACTCCATCTATTTCCTGATCTTATCCATCTTACTTTGAACCATTATCTTTCGCAGTCCTTCCTGTACTTTTTTTTCAAGTTGTTATTTTATGCAAATTTTCACTCTTTTTCTGTTTGTTACTCACATTATCTTTTTCCTTGTTGATATTAATCACTGTTACCGGTCTCCTTATATTTTTAAACTATCACTATATAGTCCGTAATTATATTCAGATTTAAGTCCATAATTATATTAATTCAGATTTAAGCGACGAGCTCTATTTTATCACTATAGAAACTAATATAATTCCCAACCGGAAAGATTTGAAATTCCGATCATTTTCTCAACATATAAATCGCTTTTTTAAATTAATAAGCTGTTTAGAAAGCTGTAATTTAGAGAATGAAAATGAATTCGCTGTAAAAAAATGTCTGTACACGGGAAAATCGAAATGCACTGGAAAAATGTTTCTGCCAGTGAAATATCAGTTGAAAATATCATCCAAACATCATTCGTTAAACCTCGAAAAAGTAGTGAGTGGTGTTTGCTGATTCGAATGCGCTTTCTCAACATTGAATCGTTTTCGAATCGCTTTTTTTTATTATATACATATTTATATGAATGAAATGGACGACGCTGAATCATTCCTGTGAAAAAAAAAAAACATTTTTCTTCACTCGTGAAATTCTGGTATGATTCTATGACATGCTGTTGATGTTCGGATTGCTTCTTCCTGATTTATTGTTGTGTAATGAAACTCCACTTTGATTAGTTGACATAATTTTGTGGTTCATTTTATTTATAGTATTCTAAAGAGAGGTTAAAAAAAATAACAGAATGGAAGCGCTGCAACGAATGATGACAAGGCGTTTGGATGAGCATTCCTATAAACGAACTGCTAAACGTTTGGTGGTTGACGAATATACAAATGATGTTGATTTTAATGATAAGACAGAAATTGCTAGTATAAATCCGGCATATGATATGTAAGTTGCAACATCTTAAATTTGTTTCAGTTCAAAAATTTTAAAAACTAAGTGATTTTATAAATTGAACTGAACTGAATTGTTCAATTTTGCTAAGAAATGAAATTCTAGCATATACGGTGAAACAGTTCGGGCAAGGAGTAGTCCAAATAACTCTGCCACAGATGTGTCTTTTTCGACCACAACATGTCCAGCTATTACTTCACCGAGTCCAGTATATCATATTGAACCCACTTCTACTGTTACTGCTACCGCTATTAATGATGATCATAGCCATACTGATAAATTATTACGAAAGGTATTGCAAAAATTATCTTTTTCTCAGATTATATTTTACGAGGTCATTTGAGCAAGAACTACCAAATAAACGAGTAGAAGTTTAACGCACTTGTTTACTGCTTGTATTCAAATCGAATGGACTATCACGGTTTCATTAAAATATTCGAAAATATGGTGCAAAACTAATTAAATGCTTTAAAAAGTGTTCTGCATTTTGTTTTTATATTTAACCGTACTTTTTAGGTTTCGCTGGCTGTACGAAGAAAGCTAACAGGTTCGAAACCTTTTGTCAGTGAACAACGCAATACCCATAGGGTAAGTCATCGTAATAGTAAAGATAGCAATCATGATGATTCGAAAAATAGTCAAAGGATCGCTCAAAATGATTCGAAAAAACAAGTTAGGCTAAAATCGGCGAAAAAAATGGTGAGTTTGTCATCAGTTCTTTTAAATAAATCACTTTCAAAAAGTAAATATAAGTGAGATTTCTCAACTTTAAGTAAATTTAAACAATTTCTGTATAGAAGGAGCATTACAATGACGATAGAGTGTCTGAAACGATTAGACAATCCTGGCATTGTGAATCTCTTTTGGGCGCAATTGTTCGAAGTTTCATTATGTATCGTATAAGCAGATAGCCTTAGTGATCCTGTTAATCGGAATAAAAATGAATTTATGTAAATAACTTGAAAGTGAAAATGCAACAGCAAATTAAATTTCATTCTACTGTTAGCTATCAATTTTTCTTGATTTGTTTATGCAAATTTTGTCACCTAATTTTCTTAAAGATTGATTTGGTTGACTTATGTTCAATCGGTTGTAAACATCGTAGTGAACATCGAAAACTTCTCAATGACGAATACGGCGATGATTAGTGAAAAACGAAACACTGTGATCATTCAGACCTTGCATGAATAGCACAGTGTCTGCTCGAAATAATCACTTTAATTATGTCGCATGAGCCTTTAGCTTTTACCCTACTGTTATCACTAATAAATCGACAAAAAATCAATGGAATGATTTGAGTTTCTCGCTGTGAAGTGTTACTGGAACAGTTGATGTATGCAATGAGCTTATTTTGTTATAGTATTGTAATATTTTGCAAATTATCGCTACAGAAATGTAAATACCTCTTCATCGATGTATTTGCAGGTATGTAAATAATAAGAGAGATGGTTTTTTTTTCAAATGAAAACAGTGTCTCTTCCATTTTAATCAAAATAATTCTTTACATAACATTTAAACAATCTCTGGTCTCAGTTGACAAATAATTGAAAAAATCGGTGGATCAGTGGTGATGATATTCAGTGTTGTAACATCAATGATAGTTGATTTTCAAAATTTAGATCTGCAAATCTGTTTCACAGATTTCCAAGATTTATAATAAATTTGCGTAACGAGAAATTATAGAAACTTTTGTCAAGATTTGGCTTCGTCGAAGTAACCTATTCAAGGTTGCAAAAAAAGTAATGTATTAATTGTATAAGTTTTTTAGTATGTACATTTCTCGAATTTGTGTTTGAAAAAAACCAACAGAATTTCATATTCAGGGGTGGGGATGCACTTGGTACATTTACAATATTGTTGCGAATATCAACAATGAAAATTGATCTCTATTCCGAGAATTTCTAAAACAAATTTTAATTTGATTCAATCGAATGTATGGCACGATGATCCTTCAAGCAATGTAGGGATTTAAAACTAAGCTCATTTTCGGGATATAAAATGATCATTTAAATTTGAACTAAGTCCACAAAAGACTCTCAGTTTAATGTTCTTCATGAAAGAAACCTTCATTCTGGTGTAGATGTTCTATAACTGAGTTAAATAAAAAGACTGAATCACGGCTAATATGAAACGTTTAGTCATATTGCTTATCTTTTCACGTGTTTTAAATTACATATTTGAGAAAATATATATCGTGTTTTCTCTTTCAAATACATTTCCAAAAATTATCTCTCTTCAGTGAAAACGAATGGTGGGTAACGGCAGTATGGGAACATATGTAAATAGAGGAGACATCTCTCCCATCCTTGTCACTGATAAATTTGTTGTGCTGACAAAACAATGCATCTATTAATTCCGAATGTCTTTTTTGTCCAACTCACCATTAATATGGACTTTGCTAGTTAACATAATAATTATTAGTTCAGTTATTTTTCCATTCCCCTTTTTATTTTTCTGCTATTTTGCTTACGTTTGATAGGACCTCTACTGGGGTTCTTATAGGTCATATCATTGACAGTTTGGCCCACATTATTTGATATCGAATTTCTGGAAAATCTCGCATAGACCGATCGATATTTATACATATTTTTGGTTACAAATTACTTTATTAGATCTATTCGGTTCCTCGTCGAATATCAGAAATATTTAAAGTTTGGGTGAGCAAATCAGACTCATTATTTTGTTTTTATTATTGTGAGAGTACTGTTTTAGATACCGTAGCTGTAACATGCAGCCTTCCACTTTCCCACAAATCATTTCCCAATATTCCGTTAAACAGAACATTTTCAATTGCAGTTTCGTTCTCGGCTTCTCTCATTTAATACTTAACCAGCAATTCTTAAATGGAATCCTAACTTTTTTTGTCACTGCCTAATTATTCTTTTTGTTCTCTTTTAATTATTTCATTTCATATATTCAGTGCTGCTACAAATAAAACTTTTGATTTAAAAAAATTGGAAAAAAATCACTGTTTGTAAAATCCCCGGATTTCTGATAGCTAAAGTTTATAGCCTTTCATTTTCTTTTTTTAGTATCTTACAGATTTAATGCCAAGCGTATTTTCTGTTGAATCACTGTTGGATCTTCGTGAAGCACCATCACCCTATTCAATGAATTATAGAGGTTTGAATTTAGCATTTGATCCTTTGAACTCAGAGAATACAGCTAAGAGTAAGATATTTTTTTAACGTTTAATTGGCAGTCTACTAGAGATATGAGGAAATAAAAATCATTTAATTGGTTTTCTTATCTTGAATTCCCTATGGCGAGACATACGCTTTCTTTATTACAGGTTATCTAAAATCCTGCATAGCTGACGCTCCGTTTAGTTTTCTGAAAGCACACAATGATTTTGCTAGTGATTCAAACCATCCAGCAAATTGCAGTTCCAAATTCAGCCTTGAATTCAATAAAAGGTCTGTATAATATATTTCTATATGTTATTATGAATTAATTTCCAGGACTGTTATTTTCCACTTACAAATTTTTAAGCAGATTCATTGGTTTTTATTTGTTAAATTGTTCAAGAGAATGCAAAACCCGACGTGCCCGTACAGCATTCACTTATGAACAGTTTGTTGCATTGGAGAATAAATTTCAAAGTACTATGTAATTTTTCTTTATACGAGATGTGCTACTTGAAACTATAAATGCGAAAAAGTTATGTCAAATTACCTCAACTCAGGCACTAATCAATTAGTTAAAAACCAAACTTTTACTTAATTGCATTCAAAACTTTTTTCTGTCAATCAGACATTCATGAAAATCATTTGATTCTTTTACATTTCCAATGAATCATTTTTAAGATATTTGAGTGTATGTGAAAGATTAAATCTCCCTGTGGCTCTAATCCAGGTCATTTTTTCATCGCACTCAAAATTTCAAAATTTCTTTGCTTTAAATGTTGAAAAGATCAAAAATTTTCTAATTTGAACAGCGTTTTCCAAACCGAAAAATTAAATTAATCAAGTTATACTCATCACACTAAAATTTTTATTTATGTTTTTATGTTCCAGGTCAAGATTTGGTTCCAGAATAGGCGTACAAAATGGAAAAAGCATAATCAAAACGTGGATTCCAGGACGGTAATATCGCAATGCATAGAACCAGCACTGAGTTCGCTGATATCCAATAGATGTCCTACATTCTCTTCCTTTTTCTCATCAACATCATCAGCAGTATCACTTTCATCCTTATCATTATCAGCACCACTAACATCACTTCAACAGTAATAATAACAACAGCCGATTATTTGGCAATTCCAGATCTTTTTATTTTGCCAACATCACCAATGTCGTCTTCTTCACCCAATGCAATTAACACTTATTTCACTCTACCAATAAATGCCTTTATAATCATTAACACTTGTCAGATTTTGTTTTGCCTAACCTTGCATAACACAAAATATATTAATTTTTGCTAACTATCCTTGTTTAAAATTTGCTTCCTTATGTGAATTCCCAATTTCCCTTCTATCGGAAGGATTATCAGATTGATTAACAGAGAATTAAATAGATCAATAGAATTTGATAATTTCAGCTATGTTTATTTCAAAATACGAATTAACTACTGAAAATAACCAAGATTGTTAAGAAATGATGAGATAGATGGTTGATAAAAGAAGATAAGTGGCAACAACCTGAAAATAATCTATCATCTACATACCCACTATCCTGCACTTATCATTATTTTCTACTACTATCACTCGTTCGTGCGTTTCTATCTTTTGTTTTTTCGAAGATATATTTGAAAGAAAAAAATAAAAATTGTTATTAAAATCAATTATTCGTTGTTGATGTTAAATATCATTTTATAATAAACAATAAACATCATCTCACTTCATATTTCATTTCGCACGGAATATTTTCTTCTCTTGTACTTGACGAGATCAAGCAGAATAGTTAATATCAAAAAACTGGATCCACCTATAAGGTATCTAAGTTACACAGAAAATTTTTCTATATTTTTTTTTCACTTCAGACATTCAAAATTTATGATTAGTAAATTATATAATTACAGTGAACAGATTGCTGGATGGATAAACTATTGTTCATAGTTCCACTTCCGCGTTTTTTAGTTATCAGTTAAAACGTTGAGAAAAAAATACATTGTTCTATGATTTTCACAGTCATTGATGGGTTTGCAAACCGATTTCTGGTTCATGACCATTTTCTATAATTAAAAAATCATAAGTTCATCAACTCCGAAATTCTTTAGAACCTGTCAAAATACTTCACAACATGTATTTACTTTTAATCGCAAAAATTTCTGCACCGTGACCACTTTTCATCTCTTTCTTGTTCTTTTACAAAATTATAAACCATTTTGATAAAACACATAAGTAACATACAAAGTTCTGCTCATTTTACAGTTTCATCATTACTTTCTGTAAAGGAACTGCTCTTCAGGATGTAATCTGTATAAAATTTTAGTTTACATTTGCATTTCTAATTTATAACCAACTCTCTGTTTACTTGCTAAATGGATCAGATCAGTAAGAATAAAAATAGAAATGATATAAGTATTTCTTTTCATTTCATTAGAAAAGTATAATTGCTAGCTAAACAGTTTAGCATACTTTGGTAGAGCAAACCAAAGTACGCTAAACTGTTTAGCTAGCAATTATACTCTTCGCTCAAATCATTTACAATCTTAAATAAGAAAGCAGTCAACTAGAACTGATTTTGCAGATGATAGATTTCGTTATATCAACGATGATACGTTGAACATTTGATTGAAAAAACCTCGATTTGCAATAAAAACGAAAATTTAATGATCATCTGGAATCACTTAGGTCCTCATCGTATCATTTGGCAAACCCGTACAGTTAAATATCACATTTTTCTCTTCAATCGCATTAGTGCTATTTAACTGGTCCATCCTTTCATAACTATTATTCTAGATATTCTTCCTTAATCATTCAAAAATTTTCCAACTAATTCGAAATTAAACTGCTGTCAAATTTTTGGAGAAGTAAATTAAATAAAAGAAGCATTTTTTGAAAATGTTGCAGATTTTTCTCCTCTGACAATAAGTTCTCCAATAGTGATACTTTTAAAGATTATTAATAATTGGATCCAATAAATATTTTTTGAGACCTTTTCAGAATAATTTAAATAAGAGATGAGATATCGAATTACGAATCTTTTAAACTTCTTGCGAAATTTTGAAATCTTTTAAGAAATTTAAGAATCAAGCTGATTTTAATATGGAAATTTCAGTGCTGCGCTTAAAATTGCTTGATTCATCCCGATTATCAATATTTAAGCTGCGAAACATAAATTATACTGAACTTTTCGGTGGCAAATAAATGAAGTTTGATAGTTTCATTTAAATATAATTGTTAGTTTATGACTGCACAAATAAAGTAGTCTAAGAGCAAAAAAAATTAATTGATAGAGCAGTGGAGATAGTTGGGACAAGTTAAAACAATGAAATTATTTATGTTCTTTACAAGATTTATTAGTACAAAAAGTTTCAAATATTTAAATTTTATTGTTATTTCTCAAGTATACACACACCATATCAACAATATTTTTTTTGTGGCTACTGATAAGCACCGAAGGCAATTTACAAAATAAAAAGAACCACTGAAAATAACTTCATCACTTTGATCCTTTCTTGATCAAGTTTAAGCCATCCTGAGTTAAAGACTGCCATAAAACATATAATGCATGGAAAGAAGGACAAATTAAATTATTCTTATCAATATGTGTAGGGAAGCTGATATAGCTGTCGAACTTTATTATATTCCTTATTATATTATTATTTCCTTAAACATCGGATAATAATAATTAATTTCTTACGAAATAAGCTGTCGGAATCGGAGAAGTGCTTATTTTATAAATTAGAATTGGACAATTAATTTAAGCGTAGTGAGAGGAGTATAAATTTAAGCGTAATGAGAGTAGTATTAACTCATAAGGCAATGAAATGAATAATTGGTAATTAATTGGAAATTGCTAGGAAACAAGACGTAATAAGCTCATTGCTATGAGAGAAAAATAGCAAATAGTTCAGTTATAACCCTAGTCGAGAAAAAGTTTATTGCATTTACTCCCCAACGTTCTCCTAATCTGAACAACTGAATCTCACAGCTTTGAGAAATTAGATGATCACGAATGAAATTTTTCAAATTCAATCTGGAAATAATGGACTTTGAATGGTTCTCACCACGAGTGTCCTGTAATTCAGTATGGTGAGTGGTCCCCTCTAGTGAAATAAAAAATATCACTTCAGGAATACTCAAGGAAACTGAGCGGGAAGTTAGCAGCCAATAACTGACCATATCGTATTAGTTTGAATTTCTCAAAATTGGGACGAGTTTTTTCTTAGCGTTAACCAGGTTAGCCATTTCAATCGATAGAAAGGAAGAGGTAAACACATTCGTGAAGATATGAAAACTAGGAAGGTAACCCTACTGGCCTCAATAAGAGGATGAATTAACCAGAAAAATTTATGATCGGCATTGTGAACCCTAAAGAAGCCACTCGTCACGCAGAATTACCGGACACTCATGGTGAAAACCATTCGAAGTCCATTACTTCCAGATTCGAAGAGTTTCATTCAGTGATCAGAAATGATGATGAAAGACTTCAAAATGTCAAGAGTTCTTAATTTTTCAAAAACCGGCATTCACACCTCATTAACAGTGGTTATCCCTGTGTTATAGAATCTTTATGGATGATATTATCAATGACTTAACCGTTAGTGAGATAAATTTTCAAAATCTGAAAAGCTTTTGTTCCATGATTTGATTTTAAATCAATATTTGGTAAATTTTAGCAGTAGATTGAAACAGAACTGAATCATTTGTCACAGTTGAGCTACAAAAATTCATGAAGATCAAGCAAGACTTCCAATGTAAATATGCTTATTGATAAGCATAAACGTTTATTCTTTCTATTCGGGGGAACTTAAGGATAATTTCACATCATATTCAACTATCGAGTAATCAAAAGAGGATTTTATGGTCTTATTCAGCTACCCAGTAATTAAAAGACGTATGAATCTGCTTGTTATTCTTGAACCGATTGACAGTTTACAATATTCTTCTCAGTTCTATTTTAATATTTTCACAGATCATTTCATCGGAAAACAGAATTCAAAAATTGCACTGTTTGAAAGGATAAGAAAAATAGGTATCAAAAAGAGTAAGTATTTCAACAAAAAAACACATCGGTAATTCGAATGTGAAGTAATACTTCAATATGCAACGAAAAATTTTGTTCAGTAATAAACACTGCACTTCCTTTTTCTATAGAAAAGGCATCCATCCAGCAAACATTCGAGCAAGATTTTCTGGGTCACTCGCTTCTTTAATAAGACAAGAAACCTAAACAAAATATCAAAAATTTTTGAGATGAAAAATTTCATCTTATCAGAAGGAAGTTGATATTTTACTCGCACAGCCTCAATTATAAAGTACAATCTGATACCAGCAATGAATAGCTACTAGGTCAGCATTCAATGATAAAATTTCATAATTTAGCATATAAAGCTACTTGGAGTATTTTACTTTCACCCTAAGTGATTACCTGTTGCGAGGAATCCATATAAATTCTATTTTCTATTCCCGCCAATTTATCACGTAGTCGGTAAATTGCAAGGGTTGCAAACTGATTATTATTTTCGCCATGATATTTTGTTAGTGGATCGTGCAAAAGTACAAGCGCTAGACCAATTAATGCCTGCAAGTTTCAAAGATGTCATTTCGAGGATATTTGCATAACACTAGGAGAAGTAAGCTAGTGAAAGAACAATAATAAAAACCTGAGAGTTTTTCCGCAAACGATCCAAAGTATCTACTGCTACACTCTTAAATTTTCCATTGACACCCTCAATCAAAATTGGATCAACCATTTCTCTTGTCAAACGAAAAGGTACTTGTTCAGGCACTAGTAAATTACGCTTGCCGAATTCAAATACCATTCCTTAAAATCACAAAATAGAGTTGAAGTAACTAAGGATTTCATACGGACACACAGAATAAAAAAAGTCATAAAAAATAACTCCTGAAGACAAGCAACAGAGGAAGGAACAAAGAATCCGAATCAAGATACGAAAAAAAAACAAGTTGAAGAGAAAAAATTACTGCAGATAAATATGGCATAAGATGGAAATTAAACATTACCGAGATCGATATGGACGAGTCGACCGGTTTCTTTTTCAATCATGATATTATTCAAGTGACGATCACCCAAACCAACTATATAACCCACTATAATTGTAAAAAAAACATTAGCGAGTTATCATATTCATCCCAAAAGATAAAACCCAGGAAACACTTGTTAACTGTAATAAAAAAACATACCTATAGACCATCGCGCTAGAGATATTGTATAGTCATTAACGCGACAGAACCATTCAAATGGATTCGAGAAACGATCATAAAAGAAGTGTCGAAATACAGGATGAATGTCCTTACATATTTCTTCGTAAGTTTCCACAAGATTGGATTGACTTGCACGAGCCTATACATAAATAGCAATACATAGGACAAGCATATATAATAAAGAAAAGCATATATTATCTTAGTTTGATAATAATGATAGCACTATATTTATTCGTATCGTAATGCATGTCAAGAATCGTGTACGAACAAGCTTTTATATTTATTCAAAAAAAAAAAAAATCGGAACAAAATCGGAAAAAAGTGCCTGTGAAAGCTTTAAACATGCAGCAGCTGCCGTCATTTCAAGAGGATAAAGCTTTTCGTGCATACCACTTTTCCGATTCGCACCGCAAATATAACTACCTAGACCAGCATCACTTAATATCTCTATTCACATTTCATTGATTGGTATTTATTGCATTAGCCACTTCGACTACCGTTTTCTTTAGTAAAAAGCGATAAAGTTGAAACACTTGTAAGCTCTAATTCAAATTCATGTGTTCTAAGGTTTTGTAATTTTACCCTTCTCTCTTATAACAGTTGAAAAAAGAGGAAATTAAAAACTTGCTACGATTTGTATTTAACCATGCTGAATCTGTTAGCCAAATAGAATATGTAAACCAAAGAGACAAATCAGTACTCACAAAGTGAAACTGTCCCCAAGCAAAACTCGATAATTCCAGCATTCGAATTAATTGGCATGACATGATATGTACGTAATGGAAACGTTTTATTTTCATCCATCAGTAAAATGTTTACCACAGTAAAAAGCTGCTCAACAAGCGAGTCCTGCCGTAAGTCCTCATTCTAAAATATTTTATACAGATAATAATTTGTAGAATGAATACAAACGAAATATACTAGATAAGTTACCTTGAAAATCAGTTTGCGAATTTTCCCATCGCTTCCAGTTACTGTAACTATTGTTGGTTGTGTTATACCATTTGCAACTGTGACCGTTGATTCAATTTTCATGAAAGTAATAAGCTGAGAGGAATCATCAGTCAGCTGAAACAAAACGCTAATAAAAAAGAATGAATTCTTTTTTCAACCATAAACCTATAATTTTTCCTATTAAAATTAGCTGACCGGTTGTTCGATAGCCGGAATGGGAACATCTCGAAGACTTTGTATTTCTTTTAACAATATAGAATCAGTGATGGAAGCTGTTGATCCTGCAACAATGCATAGAAATTGGAATAAAGAAAAAATTGTAACAAAATAACCATCAGTGCCAATTTTTGAAAATTAACCTGAGTATCTCTTATTCTGAAACTTTTTGACGGATGAAGCTGCAAACTGCGCATATAAAGAAAATGCTTTTCGCATGACCGCTATTGGATTTCGGAGTGATTTATCTTTCATGGAGGCTTCTCTTAACAAATCCTCCACTCGATGTAATCGATCCTCAAAATAACAGGAGAATTACTTGCAAAATTTATTAGTCAAAAAATTTATTGGCTTTGGTAAATTTGTTGAGCAGAATTAAAAAATTAAGAAAGAAAACCTGATAATCTGCTGTCACATGCGTTGAGTTGGTATAAAAGAGCAGATGTTGAAGGACGTGATATGGATAATCGAACAGTGCTGCTAAGATCATCTGCAAATTTTTTACTAATTTTGTAATTGCAAATTATTTATAAAAATAACAATAATAAATAATAGCTTCACCTTCCGCATAACTGGAGCCAGAGGTGCATCATCGAAGAAATGTGAACAAAGATGATTTATGAGAGGTATCCAAGGTCGTGATTGAAATCGATTCAAACGCTGCTAAATTCACAAAATTATGTGCACAACATTTAGGAACGTCTATTATGAAATAACTGTGGTAATACTGCCTAGACTTCAACATCACAAGAAGAATGGTCAATTTAGAACAATAAACTTTTTGGGAAAAAATTTAAACTCGACAAATTTTTGCAATTTTCATTTCTTAATGCGTAACTTACCTTCAACGGCTCCAACAGATTTTCGTTATATTTGGCTTTAACCAAAAATGATAAAATTCGGTATGGAATATCCATAGCACTTGCATCAAGTTCTAGAGCTGCTAGATAAGCATCAAGAGCCGTCAAGATCTCAAAATGAGCAAACAATGAATAATCTAACATATTTCCGATCAAAAATCTCGGCCAACAAATTTTAATAAAATTTCCATCAAAAAAAATATATTCAAGTTGTTTTTTAAATATATTTATAAACGTTGCTCTAGCTACTTATATAGTCGTTTTTAAATGGAATTAAGAACAAGTTTAAAAACCAAGGTATTTCTATGGTTATGATACTGCTCCAGTTCTCTTTCTTCAGACATCTTTTCTTTTCGAATTCGCATTTCCTCAAGTAACCTCTCTCGCTCCAGTGTTTTTCCTTGTCTATAAATAATGTGGGACATGTGGCTATGAATTTATCCGTCCAAGTTCCCTAAATCTAATACTAGCTTCTCTCTTGAATTTCATTGAAACAATTTTCTTTTAAGTATCATTTTAATCTTCATTAGCATAAAAAACGAATTGCTAGCAATCTATACTGAGACAATGGGAACAAGTTACGGATAGCAGAACAGAATATAATGTTGAAACAAATTAAAGTCAGTATCTGTTGGTATCTTACGAATATCAAGAGTGTTCCTATGATGGATATCCTGTCAACCAATAATTTATTTTTTAACTCGAATTTAAATATAACTATGAATTAAGTAATATTAAATAAAGGATTCAATAATAAAATTCAACAACCTCGCAGCCTGAAGCTTTTCTTCTTTTATTAATTCCAGCTCTCTCTCCCAATTTTTAATTGCTCTTTCCTTAGCTTTAAATGTTTCAGAACAACGATAATCCTCCAATGACAACAGTTCCGTTTCAGAATACGTTGCAAGCGTTTTGTAAGCTTTTGACACCAACAAAACGTCTTCATAACCAATTCTCAATGCGTTTTCCACAGTCTAAACAACATTTTGTAAATGTTTAGCTTTAACACCCATTTGCGAAGTGATAACGCAAAATACAAAAATAAAACTAAATAAAGTAAGGTATTTCTTTTTATATCCATATAAAAAATTAGACCAGATCCCCTGATGCGAACTTAATAGTAAGAATAAACGTTATTATTATAAAGTGAATGCTACAGAACACTTTAATTTCGAAGATATGTACCGTTTTCAAAGCTTTAACGGCTAAATCCGGCCTACATGCTTCCACATCAAACTCAGCTAATAACATCTGAGCTTTAAGTGAAAGTTCAGGAGAACTGATGTCGTAATCACAGCTGCCTGAGTTTGCAGAGCAAATATTCATCAGAAGTAATCGCCCTGCTTCTTCATACCCACGTTTTTTCAAAATACGAGCTTTTGTTATGTCATATTCACGATATATATTCTTATCATTATCCATCAATTTTCGATATTTTTCAATAATTTGAAGAGCGCGCTGAAAAAAACACAAAAAGATTATAGAAAATGGAAAAGAAAAAACAGAAATCACTAAATTATATAGCTCACTTCACAGGCATTATTTTTGCAAAGGTACTCAGCTCGAGCAACAACCATCGGAGTAAGGATTCGTGCTGGAATACGTTTAGTCCCATGTTTACATATTATCCATGGACAACTTAATATAGAACCGCGAATTGGAGGTCTGTTTCGCTGCACCAGATCATTCACTTCACAACAGCTGCGTAAATCGTCTAATAATTTTTGAGATATGACCCATGATTTGGCAATTTCATCACACTTAGTATTACTGAAATGAAATCTATCCATAATGAGAAGATTTAAAATAACAAGATATTTAGGTTTTCCATCAACCTGTTCGCTCCATTATAAGCAAAAACAGATTTGTTAACAACATGTAAAGCGCTAATGTTCCGTAGATCGTCGATAAAAGAGCAGATGTAAGGACTCACATAGCAGTATCACACAACCGCTGAGATAATTCCACTTGATCTTTTAACCGTGCGAACAATGTGGAATATATCTGACAACCATTATTTACCCTAGAATATCTTCATAAGATAAAAAGTAAAAGATGCGAAAAATACTTCAAAGAAAATTTCACATCTCTAAAACATCAGTAAACAGTACATTTTAAACAAATTGCTGTCCCACTTCTGGAGTTCAGCACAAGCAAGGCTAGCCATTTCTTCGAATTTCGGTGGAACATCTAAACCGGCATAATAAAATGCTAAAGAGTGAAGATGTTCTAAATCAATCGTAGGCGTAAGTGAAACCAAGTGTGACCAATCGCATTGATTTTTTGCCAAAATCATATGACACTAAAATCATTAGTCAGTAGCTGTAAAATGACAGTATAATTATCACTCGTGATCAGCCTAAAACTTAAAAATTTAGAAATTTGGGAGAAAAAACGAAAAAAAAAATTTAAATCCAGTAGATCAGTAAATTCAAAAAGTAACTAAAGCCGTATTTCTAAACTGAAAATTATAATCCAGAATTTACTCGACTATTATTTTTTATCTGCAGGGAAAGCGGGCGTAATGAATCTGCATCATCCATTTTGATTAATATTTCCATAAATAATTCGGCCGCTTTATCAGCTCTTCCGTCGAACATGTCGAAAAATCCACGATTTCCATTCAAAGTGTGCATAACTGGCCGTATTGGATCGCTTAAACTAAAAATGAACTTTGCAGAATAAAATACATTTTCACTTCTTTGTTCATTATTTATAACAACGTGGATAAACCGCACTCATTCTGACAAAAACATGCACAAACAATTTGATCTATGAACAATTGTAATGAAAGATCCATAATTTTTTTAGATAAGTTGACAGGTGAAAGAAACATACAAATATCAACTATGATCCAAAACTAGTGAATGTAAGTAATATTTACCGATCAAGGTAACAATGCAAGAAGTAATATGCATCAGTCGCTATATTAATTTCCAAACAAATTTTTGATAACTTCAATAAGTCAAATGGTAATTTCTGAAAACCCAGCTCTGACGCCAAATTTACGCGCGCTTGTCGAATACATGCCACTATAGCAACCACCAGTGGGTAATCTACAATTTTCTGATAAATATGGGAAAATTTTCAAAAAACGTGCAAATTTTCAAATAGTGTGAAGACTTTTCTTTGAATTTTTAAAAAATTTTTTAAATGATGACTATAAACTGAAATTTACCATTTCTAATCAATCTTTCAGGAAAATTCGTGAATAAATAATTCACATCCACACAAAACTGTGACATATCATGTCCTTCATCGTATGCCATAGCGAAAAGATGAGGAAGCAAAGTAAAAGCAAAAGAAGGCTGCAGAAAAAAAACCATTAAATATATGAGGAAAAAAATGTACTTTCAACGTCTTTGAATACCACTGCGAAGCATAGATGAGCGGCTGTAGTTGATGTGCAATGGACATTACATTACTTAAGGCAATGAAGTTTTGGGAGAAGCCCAGGTTGTCAGCGTTAATTTATTCTGTTAAAATCACGCTCTGATGATTGAACCGCACACGATCCGATCAAATCTTTTTAGCCATGCAGTATTTAGCAATGGCTTCAATTTGATAAAGCCTTGGAAATTATGACTCAGTATTTCGATTTTGTCATTTCTACGCCACAGATCAAATAAGATACCTAGATGCAGTTTTATGAAGGACAATTTAAAAAACTCCCGTCAAAAGAGATTTCTAGATAATTTGCGAGGAATATAATAAAACTTGCAATCTCGAAACTAAATCAACTAACAATATGATTCGCAATCTTCAACAAACTGTTGGCGTACGATAAATGCAAAAGGCTGGCAAACTGTTTAAAGTAATATAACATGAAAGCTTCCGTATTATCACCAGTTCTTTGTAATATTTCCTGATATTATCAGCATTATAAGGGAGATCTATCAAATTTTAAAAATTAATAACTAAAAATACAAGCATAATTACCAAAATAATATTTAGCAGAAATTTCAGAAATCAGAGATGTGTCCGATAACAGAGTTCACCCCTGTCTTCTACTGAAGAAAGGACTCACCGAATCATCTTCAACAATCGTTTGCTGGTCGCTGCCGTAGCTAAATAAATTATTCACATAGATCATAAAAGTGGAGCTTGATAGAATCTGACGTATGCACCAGTAGACTTCACATGGGTATAATTCACTAAAAATTTATTTCATGCGAAATTATAGATAGAAAATGGTTTTAGACGTTTAACTTGGAAATACTTGAGACATTCAATAATAACAAAAGTTTTAAACTTACAAAGGGTTGAAAAATATTTCAAGCAAAGACAATGCAATCAATTCTTCAAACTTAACATTCATCGGAAAAACATGATAATATGAGCCCATGTAAAAAGAATCGAAATGAGTTAAGCATGGAGCAATAGACTTTCGCAAAATGGGATATTTAGACCAAACTTGTAGTATTTGACCCAGCATTTCAGGTGTATCTATGAAACAAATCATGATAAATATATTGGTTATTGATTTTAATAAGCACACAAACTGCAAAAATATGGCTTACCTTTAACACCTAACTTGTTAAAATTCTCATACAGCCATTTCCAATATGTTTTGCAAAGCAAGAAATTGAAGCGACTAGAGGATTCCTAAATATTTAGCTTTCTCCGATTAAATGCTATTAAAAAAGAATACACTTACATAATTTATTCATATAACTTGATGATAGCTGATAAGAAATCAAAAATCATTAGTTGATAAATCACCTCAAGCAAATGTTCAACTCGAAATTTTCTTTCAAAATTCTCTATGCTAATCCGTGCCATAATTTGTTCCCTGCAGTAGGGATTATCTATGAAGGTATCGAAAACACAATACGCTTTTTCCACTGCGATATCATAGTGTAATTCCAGCAGTAAATCGTAAAGACCAAACCAGTTCTCTAGTAAGCAAGTAATATTCTCAATCCTGGAAAAAACATTAGAAAAATAAATTAAGTTTCGAAATCAAAGGAATTTCATTAAAATCTTATCTCTGACTATTTATCAGGAAATGCTAATACATGAACTAATTTCAAAAAAAATTGCAACGAGTTCATCGAATGTTTAATCTTGATTAGTTCTTGTGAGAAAAATGGAGATGGTGAGAGTTCTTTTAACTATTCCAACTTCTTCCTTTCGCAAGAAAGAGATTAGCTAAGAAGGAGAGGTAATAGTGAAATCTTGCTAATTAAACTGAATTCCTAGAAGAATAGCTGTTACCATACCAAATTAGTGTAATAATTGCATTAAAACACACTAGAGCATAATCATTTTGAAAATTTTGAATTTGTTACCATGCAGCCGCCAAGCAACTTCTCGCAATTAATGCACAAAGTGTTGTACAATTCTCAATGATAAACAGTTTCACCGAAATGTCGAACGCACTTAAATCACATTTCAAGAAATTTTTCAGAGCTCGAAGTATCAGAAATTCATATCCCAGGAACTGGCAACATCGCAGTAGCTTTCGTAATTTCAAAAAAAAAGTGCATAGATTCATTGTTATAGCAGCAGCAAATGATTTTTTGAAATCTGGTCGATCGAACAACTTGTTCAATCTGAAACTTCTTCCTATGAGGGCCTCGGACAATTTGTTAGGCATCAAAGATTAGGCTATTAAAGTTCCAATTTTAAGCTAAAGCTTTGTCTGGAGAGAGAATCTTTTATATAATAAATTTACGCTAACTGATATAAATTAGAACTAACATTTTTTCCTCAATAAGAAAAAGTACATCCAAATACATTATGTGTGACGTATTTATTTCTTCTCCATTTATGTAACGTTGAAATGACTGTTTGTTAACAGAAGTCTTCCGTATGACTTCAAACCTTCTGCAAAGAAAATCGGATCAAATACTGCCCTTATCTATATAGTATACGAAGTAATATCAACTTACTTCAACTCATTTGGCGGTAGGAAACCGTTACTTGATGCGGACTGCACTTCATAACAAACGGTGGCTGCCTCGAGGAACAAATCGATTACTGCATCGAAGGTTGGAAAAACTCTTATCACTTGCTAAAAGTCGATGAAATCATTTAACTAACGATAAAGCAAAATCAACAAAAACATTTAGCTGAGGAAATTTCCTAAAAGCATGCAATCCTTACATCTGAAAAATTGTTACTCCCACCATGGGAATATAACTAACTTGGTACTTTCTGCAAAGCAGAGCGAAACAGTGTTTAAGAATTGACAAAGAGCTTCAAATACCTGATACAAATGTGATGTTCCCATGCTGACGAGAAACGCTAATATTCTGAGATGAATTTTGTGCTTCAGTGGTGGCATATATATTTTTTTGATAATGTTAGCACGGAATTCATCTGGGAGATCAGCTTTCACGACAAATTTTGCCATTCCTGCTTGATCCAACCAAACTGAGCAATGTAAAGTTTTATGCAGCGTAGTTAAATTATCGAATATGACACCGCAACCTTTCCATTCTTCCGTCTAAATTCGTATTAATTGAAAAGTCGAAAATTAAAAAAATAGAAGTATTAGGAAGCCATAATCTCTTAAATACCGGAAGATATGTAAGGACCATTTCCGCAATAACAAGTTCATTCACATCTCTTTCTGATTTGTCTTCTTCACCTTGTAATATAACCGTCAACGCAAATGTGCTGAAAACTCACAAATGTTAAAGTCCTGAAAAATATTAGTTGATTAATCCTGAAATCCATGATGATTAAAAAGAAAACTAATGAACAAAGAAATGTGTTAAACACGGATCATGTTTATCTCAGAATGGAGATCGAGTCACACTTCTTGTGTCTTTATATAGAAGGTCTAACCGCAACAAGGTTATGAAGTTTCGTTTTTCCGTTATAGTGCCATGCTGAATAAATGGTTCAATAGTAAATGCGGCTTCACGGAATGAACCACAATTGCGTACTGCTTCCTGGACATAGTTCGACATAATCTCAGATGCTGCATCAATTCTCGTTGACAACATCTTATTCCAGTCCTAGACCAAAATCTTACAAGTTCAAAAATTTTTGCAATCGTCTTTAGAATTTTTGAACAATTTTTCGATGAACACTTGTTTCTTCGTCTTCAACATATGTTACATGACTGTATCACTATTAGTAAAAAAATAAAAAAGAACACAACATCAAAGAAACAAAATTAAAAACATACGTGAACACCAAAACAATTTTAAATTTAAAAAATCACCTTTTTATCAGCAAACCTACATTCAGAGTTACTCAATTGTTGCAATATCACTTCTTTTAGCTTCAAACAAACAGTATTTCTTAATCTTGCGTCTGCTGCTTGCCAGCTACCTTCAACTCCTAATGCCAACAACCATTCATCAGTAACAGTCAGTTTATCGCTGCGGATAATTCGCGGAAGATCCGAAATCATAGCCTATGTGAATTATTATCTATAATGATCATAAGAATAAACGAAACTAATGATTGTGATCAATAATTTAAACATAAAACTGAACAAATACCTCTAGTACACTTAATAGAGAATTACACTCCGCGCCATAGATATGGAAGTAACAAAACAGATTTTGCACTGAGAAAAATAAGCTGATTTGATTCCGTTCTGAATAGAAGAATTAATATAAGACAAATAAATCATGATGACACAGAATATTAAGGCATAACTTCTATATCTATACAAACCTTCCTCTGCTTCGGCATGACTTTACAAAATTTCTTATGTCAACCTAGTAACGTAACAAGTTCGAAAGGATGATGAAAAAGTTAAAAATGAATAAGATATTCTTTTAAAAGTTCATTCATGAGCTATATTTTTTCTAAAAAATTATTGTTAGGACTCGCCAAATTTGAATTACAAAGATAGACTGGTGAGGAACCTTATCATTAAGAGTTAAACAGCAAAATAAGTTCGTATACACAGCTTCCCTATCAATCTATTTTTTAATTTATTTTCTTTTATATACAATCAACAACAGAACTTACGAAGTGTTTCTGGATCTGCACTTTCCAGTTTTATATTTCGCCAGAGTTCCATAAGACTATTTCCAGCAAAATCCACTAATTCCCGGATAAAATATTTTTTTGAAGTAGCTCTGCACGGTGTTTCAAAAACACGAATTGCAAAAAGACTCATAAGATAACGTTCTAATTTGCTGATGTCTGTAATTTGATTCCTACATACATTCTACTTCCTGGTAAAAGACATCAGAACTTTTCAGTACTTTTGTTCCTAAGCTTTAACAAGTAAAGATGGCTTCATTTGAATCATTAAAAGAATTTCTTCGAGTTTTCCGAACAAACTAACATTTTAGCACCGAATCCTAGAAATATTTCACCTGATTTAACTGATTCATGCCGGAAATCTGGTTTAAAGCACAGTACTTCTAAAATTGCATTTATTGGAATATTCGCTGGTTTCGCTGATGCCTTCAAGATGAACCTTAATGCTGCACACCGGAAATTCCATTCTTTCACAGCAGTTTCATCAGTAGGCCTGATTTAAATACTAAATTTTCGTCAAAAAATCAAAATATTGATGAACAACAACCATTTCCGGAAACAAACGATATTAATTGAAATCAAAAAATGAAGAAAAAACATACTGAATTTCAAAGTGCTCATCGAATTCGAAATTACTCAATACATGAGCCAAAAGACAAGCTACTTCAGCTGTGCAAGTATTCAACCGACTTATGTTGGTCCAAATGATTTTCGTCACATCGGTGTCCTTCAGTTCTAACTTCTTCGCACCTACAATTTTAAATAAAATTTACGAGTTCTATCGTTGAAATAGAACTAGACAGAATAAAACTGTCTATATATCAAAATAACATACAAGGAATTACGATTTCGTGTAGCAAACGAACTGCTAAATCCGAAATACTTTGAGACGGTGACTGTAATAGTGAAAGTGTAAATTTCCACATATATGCACAATGCTCCTTTCCAAATAACTCTATAACAGATGATTCCGCGACAGATGTTATAGCTCTTAAATACCAAATCAGTAATCCTTCTCTGAAAATTTAACTAAAATTTTTGACAAAAATGCAAATTTTTTGAAGTTTCTTGGTATTAACTTCCCATATTTTATATCATATTTAAAAAATGCAGCAGATTATGAATGCGAGTTTTAAAAAACTGCCATCAGAAAAAGATTTACAGAAATACTTCGAATGTTTCATAGCTGATTTAACAAAACCTTACAAAACTAACACAGAAGTCAAATAATTTTGCTACCTGTCCACTGCATTCGATGATTGAACAATATTCACGAAAAGTTCTTTTTTCATTTGGAGTGGCAAACGATGGCTCCACCGAACAGAAAGTTTTTCAATTAGCTGGCACCTGGAACAAAAACCAGTCGTCAGTGCAGACTTGGTTATGTAAGCTACAACGGCTTCAAGCTTTCAAAAAAGGCATTTGTAACCATTTCGAATCAAAGCTTCATCGGATGTAGTAAAAGGCAAATATTGTAAAACGTGAACAAACCATCGTTCATCCTTTTCTTGGACCAATTTAAATAGTAGATCGCCACAATGAGAATCATTAGTGTTCTGAACAATATCAAGAGTAAGTGCTCTGGCTAACAAACTTACAACTCCATCCGGTAACAACTGTATTTGTCCCATTCTGCAACAAAAATTAGAAATAACATAAAACATATTTGCTCCTCCATCTAAAAAAAAAATCAGTGAACTGGTTTGACAGGAGATTAAACGTACTGTGTTCACCTAAACAGATGCCTTGGATTTTTAAAGGAGATAAAAATTGGAAGGAAAGTTCAGTCCTTTGATATAATTTTTATAATATTGCGCTAATACAAATCGAATCACCAGCTTGCAATAGTCTGACTCAAAGATTACCGATATGTACTTTTGAGATATAACGATAATCCATTCATACAGTTAACAGCTGCATTCAGAATAAGATTCAATAAAGCTCTTGAATTCAACAGCGGTGGAGAACCAGGTGTGCAATCCGGATGATGTATTATGAATATAGCTTCAATGAATTTGGACTGCTGCAACGGTTGCTCATTTATTCAAAAAGATAAAATAGTTGAGATTGATGCAAAACGCCAACATATATAACCATTATAAGGAATTGCTAATTAATGTGACTGTTACGCCCTAATTCTCAACCACACTACAATCAGCTATTAAACTGTTAACTGCTCAAAACTATTGAGCACAAGCACTCATGTCTGTAGCGCTCACCTCATTTAATGACGATAACATCTCATCAGCGAATTTCCGTGACTGCCATAAAGAAATAGTGCCTGCCCATGCTTGACCAATTAAGTCAGAAAGTTCTCGACATTGCTTGAAAATAATATATATCAGAATTAAAAACTACCGTTCTTGCAAACATAATAAAATAATTCAGTAGCCACGTACTGTGCTCATAAAATGCCAATTTTTAGCTCCGAATTCAAATAATAGCTCATTATAAATACGCAGAAGGTTGACATACAAGTCATCATATAACATGAAAGTTTTATAACCCGTTTGGCAACAAAGCCTGAAAAATGAAATACCCTCAATATGTTATCAGTAGGAATCGTCAGTAATAAACTGATGATCCAAAGATACTTTTATAATTCAAATTACCGGCACTTCAACATTTTTTTGGATAAGAAATTACATTAAGCTGGTCTGAGAGGAAAAAATATCGTTCAAAATCAAATGGAAAGATTTTTGGCTTGTGAAGATAACCTACAAATATTTTCGCAACATCTCTGCGGTTTTCCCAGTCATCTGTTCTACAAGCAACATGAGGCTGCAATACTTAGCAGCACGAACTATTTGAACAAGAATCCAAGAACAAGTACGTAAAGTACAATTGTAATCACGTACATCAACGTAACGCAGACAGAATTGCATGCAGTTTGTCCACAAGTCTGAAGAAAAGCATTGGATTTAACGTAAGATAAATGGAAACTAATGTTTTTTCTTATGAACACTTCATCCTAACCGTAGCAATGATAAGGTTTCAAAATCAAAATCGACTTCTTTTCCAATAGCAGTGCTAATAAAGCAGTGATATCTGCAGCGAAATTTTGATATAAAAGAGTAAGCGCAACGTCCATCATTCGCTGTGTGCTTGACGACACATAACGCAGAAGACTGAGTAAATTATCCATGGGAGTAACTATATCAACAGTGTCTGTAAATTCATCTGGTCTTAAGTGATTTTCATAAAAATGATAAAAATAAAAAGTGCTGCTAAGAAATGAAAATCATTAAGTTACTACATAGAATTGCACCCACCAATTTTCTTAACAAAATGCCACAATGCAGTTTTGAACGCTTCAAAAGCTTGTCGACTGAATTTTTTCGCTGTTGTGGCAACATGATTTTGTTCCATCTCCTATACATTAAGTAAATTCAGGTAAAAATATATGGTCTCCTATAAAGATCTCCTATACATACATTAAGTAAAAAAAAATTCAAGTAAAGATATAGGTGTGGATTTTGCTTAGAACGTGGATGTATTATATATTGTTTGTTTTCTCATGATTTAACTGACTTCTGACTTACACATTTAGAAACAAGGAAAAACAATCTTTAAAATTCATCCTGCACCTGTAGTCTCCTGGCTGTAAATATATATTTTGTTTAATATTTTCTTAAAATTATAGATCACTGGGCTGTAAAAAGAAAAGAGCGTTACTCGCACTGCGCAGCTTCCCAGCTTCTTTAAAAACTTATTATGATCAAAATTGAACACGTGATCATCCGTCTGTAAGGCATTGAGGAATGTTTCGTTCTCCAAAATACGTTGCATTGTTTGCCAATCAATCTTAACATTTCATGCTGTTTATTATTATATTGTTGTTTATTATCATATTGTTAATACTCTTAGCAAGTAGTGCTTATATAAAATAGTACGAAACGTCTGAATTAAAACAATAGTAAACATTTCCGTACAGTTGTTGGAGTTCCTTCTGTATCATATATTTCTTTTAATTGTTTCGTGAGCAGAGAGAAATCCATTATCTTATATCTGGAAAACAAATTTTCACATCTTTTTCTGTGCATATGATTAGTTTTTGATTCCGCATATTCATTTTTACCGTAGAGATTGGCAGCATTGGAAAGAAAAGATAGCACTAACTGGGTAACCATCAAATCCGGACATTTCTTCATTCAATTGTACGAATATTCCGTCAGTGACTGTGGTGTGGAAAAGCACAAATGGAATATGGCACGTCGATAAAAAGAGAAAAAATCATCCAAACTATTAGTATCGCATGTTAAAGAAGTGATGTGGGGTACGTAGAACGTTTAGGTTAAAATGTTCCTACAATATCGAAGACCAAAACCCTTACATATCCACCACATCATCAAATACCTTACACGTCCTAAAAAACTACGCGCCGAAAGATGAATTGAAATTTCAAATGTCGGACTAAGCGCAAAATACAGTCGCATAATGCAAACGTTATGTATCAACAGGATTAGATTGTTGGAATAGCTATCTGAAGTGAACTGGAATAGAAGTGAGGGTTGTGATAGGTGAAAATTAAAAGTTTAATTGTTTTGGGAGTTTTTAAATGAGTTGTCGTTTTTATTTATATATATGTAAGGGATCAGGTTTTTGCTTATTTAACCTTTTATAGTAAATCTTAAGATATTAATTAGACATTTCGTGTGATGTTTGTATGCAGCAAAGCTACATATATCTGACTTAATCCCGGTCGATCTACGATTTATTTCTATAATTGATAATTCGTCTATACTTGATGCTTATCCATCGTTGATCTTTCAGTCTCACTCAGTTCATCCTAATGTATATTATACAAATGCATTCATTACAGTATAATCAACATTGATAATTTCAAGCTAAATAATTGTTTTAGAAATATTTCTAGATAGTTTTTCTATCGGTATATTATAATTTTCTTTTTATCTTAGATTTTTTTTTCTTCAAAATAGAATATAACATCTTCCCGGCATGTTATGGTCTTTTTAGCATTTAATGTTACATTATCCTGATTGCTGAGGGAAATGCAAGTATTGTCACATCAATGACAATACCGATGTATGACTGGGTTTGATACTTATTTTAATACTGTGTTAGGTTTGAAAGAACTGCATAAACTCATAATTATGATTTTTCCGATCTGAGAGGATATGTCAAGTGATGAGTTTCTACATTTCATGCTAAATGTTATTTATTATTTAAGGAGAAAGTATTCCATTCCAACAAAAAGCTGTAAAATTATAGCTGGCTTCATCTTTCCTCAGCCTTTAGTCAACTGACTGAAATGCTTCACCCGTCCCAAGATGTCGATTCCTAAAACACTTGAACTTTATGTCTCACACTTGAGTTTGCTTTTATTATTTTTGCTGCAAATTGTTGCAGATTTGATTAAAAAAAAAAGACTCAATATTAAAGCTGCATTGAGATATGCGACGATAGAAAGTCGCACTCCTATTTTAAATATGCTAATTAATTGTGATTTTTATTATTCTTAATTTCTTCACATTCATTCTTTCTTTTATGCAGTAACAGGTATTTTCCTGCTTCGGCAATGGTCAAGATGATCAGCATCTAATTTTTGGAAATTTGGATGGAATTATCGATAATAATAAATATCTGAGCAAATTTCTTACTGTAAACTGTTCAATGGCGATTCATTTCTTTGGTGAGCGTGAGTGCTTTTCCGACGAAGTCGTACTGAATCCAAGCTATTGTTCCGTCCTGAAGTCAGGGACGAATGATAACACCGTCGACCTAATCTGCAAAAAGTGATGTGACTATCTTAGAGATTGATTATAAAAGCATACTCAGTCATAGAGTGAATACAACTCTCATTATCGTAACGGTGTCACGGGATAAAGGATCCAATTCATAATCACGGACAAGTTAACGTCATAATTTTCCTCAACAAGCTTGATTTGTTCCAATTATTATATCTTTTGCATCACGACAAAGTATTTAAGTGAATTCTAGAAGAAAGTTAAAATACAATAAAAAGTATTCTTTTGTACTTTATCAGTATAAGAAAAAAAAAAAACATTACCTTGACAATGAACGTGATTTATTAAATCGATCGAATGGGACATAGCTGGATGCATTTGCGTTATTTGCTGATATCTCAAAGTGTGCATTTCGTGAAAAATCAACAGAAGTTCCATTCTTCTTCCTGAAAAATTTTCGAAAAGTAGATGCATTCAACTCAAACATTGATGATAAAAATAAGAATTCTGATATTTTCGATTGAAATCTGGAGTAATCAAAATTATGTTTAAGTTTGGATGCAGTGTGACTAATTCGGGACTGATAGGATTGTCATAACAAACCGAAGAGTTGGAATGACCGGTGAATGAGCTGATCTTTGTGCATTATCATTCACATGTTCCTTTTTCTTCTCCCACCATTCCAGGTGATTTAGTTCGGCTGTTGAAGATGTTCGTTTTTCCAACCTCTTTGTATCTACTGGAAACAATAAGCTCGCATTTTCTGAATTACCGACTTTCAATATCCAAATCGGCTTGCTTAAATTGCGGCACTCCAACTTACAGAAATATCACTAATACTATCACCAATACAATCAAATCGATACTACTTTATACGTACCGCTACTGCAACAGATATTACGTTTCGTACAATTCTTTGCTTCATGACCGGCTTTTAATGCCGCTTCTTCCTGTAAGGCTCGCATTCTAACTGCTCTACGTTGTGCTGCTAATATTTTTTCTTTTTCTTTACGTTCTTCTTCTTCAATCTCTTGTTGTGCTTTTCGTCGATACTCCTCAAACCTACAAAAATTATTTGGTTGAGAAAGATTCCAACCTTCAAATCAATTGGAGAGACTTTCTGAAAATAGCAGCAAAAAGTTTAATTCAACTAACTAATCTTGTGAAATATTATTTATTTCTGCCACTTACTTTATTATTTCTTTTCGTTCTCTTTCAAGTTCACGTTGCCGCTCTTCCTCTCTACGATGCCGATTCTGCTCAATTTGTAATTGCAAGTCACGTTTATATTGTTCTGTTGAATCAGTAGCAGTTACTTTCCTATAGCACTGATTTTGTAGTGAGGGTGTTGTTGTGTGTGACAAAGAATGCTGATACGAACTACCATGTACTGAAAGTTTATCACACCAGTAATTTCCTAACTTGATAACAGTGATTTTCTCAATATTTAAAGATATATTGCTTTCTGCTGTTACACAACGAATTTCATTAATTTTTTTTGTACGACAAATTATTTTTTTCTGACGTAACAATATTCCAAACTAAAATAAAATCCTTATAGATAATAATTTTTTGGTGCTCGAATTTCTTTACAGGAATTTGTATCAATTTTTTTGAGGAGTAGGAAATATTTGATTATTGTGCATTGAATTGTCAAGAAAATAGATTAACTGACGTTGATGATTAGTGGGAACTTGGCGCTGTAGATTTTGGAAAGAGGAAACAGTTGCATTTTTATTTGTCTCCTGAAATTGAGCAGTTGAAGCAAACTTATATTAAAGACACTATTGCTACTGCAAGACTTTCAAAGATTGCCAACAATTAATGTCAAATATTTGAAAGATAATTCCTACTTTTTATCCTAACCCTGAGCTATCTCCTCACATCATCACATGAATCAAATAAAAAAAGCCAAAAAAAAACTAGAGAAGCTGCTGATCTGGGTAGAATGTAACTTGAACAAACACTAGTTTGTGCATTTGGTAATTAAAGTGTCCCTACCAAGCTAACATTTGTTACATAAACGGCTAAGACAAACCCTATCAAAAATAAGGCTTTCTCTTGTCACTGAGAGTGGTGTCTGCCAAGAAGGGGTTTCGCGAATTTCACTGTTTGGTTGAGGAGCACCAAAAGTCCACGGTAGATTATTGCTGAAAAGATCAAATCTAGTGACAGAAAATTTTTTTAAGCATAAAAATAAAGCAGTTTTTAATTGGCATGAGTGTCTACAACAATCGCTATGATTTTACTATTTTTAGCAATAATGGAAGAGTAACAGAAATTCTGTTTTCTTAGTTACTGTTTGTAAAAAAAGATAATATGTTGAAGTATTTTAGCTTTACCTAGAAGTCATCGAGTGATTAATACCAACTGCTTCCGAATGCGGAAATTTGTTTTGCCCAGTAATGTTCTCAACAGGCAATGGGATAGTAGTAACACTTGGCAAGTGAGACAGGTTATCCTAAAATATTTTATTATGACTGAAACAGTAATAAGTGTTCTCCAATGTTGCTAAAAATTGTAAATCACAAATAAAATTTGAAATGAAGTTGTATCAGATTGAATAAAACGGTATATTTAAAGCGATGAAAAAGACTTATATTTCGAAATTGAGCATTGTTTGGAATGGATACCAAATTGTCGGATGTAACCATGTGGGGTACAGTAGATGCTGGGCTGCTGCTATAAAGTGCAGAATTGCTGCTCACCGGTTCATAATAAACTTTATTGCCAATTTGGATAGGCCTGAGATGCCATAGATCTACAGGCCTAAGGTTTGTTTCTTGATCAAGCATAATTGGTGTTGTTATTTGAGATGGAAAGAGATGAGATCTCCGTTGGTAAGGGTTGGTCGGGAAATCAAATGAAATAGGATAATAGATTGGAAAAAATTGATGATGCGGTTGCCATGATGGAGCTCTTTGAGAGTGCAGCATGTGTATTGGAAATTGAATGTGACTATTGCCAGCAGACAAAACTTTTGAAGAACTACCTGTAGTATCATTTTGTGTACCATCTTTGGGAACAGTGGTAGATATATTTGTTACCTGGTCATTTTTATAATTTGGCTTACAAATGGGGCTATTTGAAAAGCATTGCGTAGAGTATAAATTTGTCGTTGATGCAGTTGGAAAAAAACCGGTTACTGTCTTTTCGTCTTCATTATTAAGGTTACCAATGATTTTTAAACTGGACTGAGTTGAAGGATTCCATGTGTATGTGCGAACCATTAAAAGCTCCTGAATATAAAAAAACGCGCTTTCATCTTCAACATTCCTATTTAAAATTATTCCCGAAAAAGATATTTAGAACAAAATGCACATGAAGAAACCCGAAATGTTGCAATAATCAGCGTCAATCTTACCCTCTATATCTGTTTTGTTTTGCTTCCTGTTTTATTATTTTACGCTGACGATATGTTTTCTTACGAACGGATTTTAGAATATTTGGTGCTAAATACTTTCTTTTCTTATGGCATGATAACGGTTTACATTATTTCCACTATGTTATCACTTAAAATAATTGTAAAGTCTGATCTGAAAATCTCACTGGTACAAACATGGTGACAGCTGAACGGGATCTAATGATTTATGTCATATTTTTGAATCTCGCCAAGAAATTCATGACAATATGTTGAACAAAGTCTAAAGTTTGAAATTACATGAATTGAAGATTGCAGTTATTAACACTTGGTTTCATGCACATTATGCATAATGTCAAAGTGCCATTACAAATGGACAAATTACATTGCATAATCAAATGACAATTGTTTGTGCATGTATATATTTGCGAGATTCCTTGTTGGTGACCATTTTTATTTAAATCTGAGAATTTCTTGTCGCATTAACAGAACTCAATGTGACAATCATTTTCTACGCGTTATTTTTTTCAAATGTCGTAGTAGGTAATTATCATTTCTACAAACGATGGTGAAAAAGTGGAAGTTTGATAAATTTGTGACCAGAATAAGAAAAATGAGCTATCATTGTGAAATGTGTTAATTGGATGAATGTAGAAATACAAATTATTAAAAAAGAAACGTTTTTAAGAACTGAAATTGCTAATTCAAATGGAAGATGGAAGACACCCTCAAAGGAATGTAACAATCAGAAATTAGCCAAGTTCTCACTCAAGACGACATAATGGCCATCGGCATAAGTCGTTAAAGAGCTGTTGTGCAAGTCACCAAATTTCCTGGTTTCCCAAAGAAAACTTGCGGAATATAATTCAAATTTATAAGCTAATTTTTTGATAATCCTATTACTGTCTAAATTTTGCAAGCGATTTTGTAATACATTTTTGGAAAAATTGGACTTGCTTATCAAAACTTTCCGTTTCAATTCATCTTACATTTAATTCCTATTTCAATTTCGGCTTACCCTCTTTCGAAAAGTTACAATTATTTTTGTGAATATAAAATCACTTCACAAACAAAAAAAAAATTGATAATGCAAAAAATAACAACTGTCATAAACAATAATTTCATCAGAATATTCATCTGCTAGAAAAGATATTCTTGAGAGAGAATATAAGTAATGAGTATAAACAATACAATGGGGATAAATAAGGGTGTTTCTGGTTTCTACAGGTAGGAATGCCTTACTTCTCTTTCTAAAGTTGATACCAAACAGATGCACACACACACACACACACACACACACACACACACACACACACACACACACAATTGGTTACCTTAACTTTTGCATGGAGTTATGCCAATTATAAAGTCTGGAAATGCGTCTTCAAAAATGCTGTTAGTGAAGAGAGGTTGCCAAGGTTACCTACGATATTGTAACAAAATTGCTGCTGAATTAATCATTGTGTTTAGTGCTAAACTTCATTCGTTCAGTTAAATCTATTTAAAACATAACTGAAAGCGCTGATAAAAATTTAATGCAATATTGATTTCAAACAAATTAACTTGCCAAACAAAAATTTTTTTAAAAATAATGAATTGAAATAGAAATGCGTACTTGTTTATTTTTACTTTATCCAATTCTTATCTTTCTCATGTAAGATTGATGATTAACCTCAAATCATTGAGCATTTATTAGAAATATCTTTAATGTCAGCATCCTATACCAATTATTGATTCCATAAAATTTAAGTAAGTTTTTTTCCTAAAATCTAATCTTCAAAAAAAAAGTTTTAAAGAGAAACAGTTTATTACACTTTTTTGACTCATAACTCACTAAAACTTAATCATTGAATGTTTATTAATTTTCATTATGAGAGTATTAGTTTCATTTGATGCAACAATTTATATCTGGAAGTTTTTTTTATCTTTCAAGCATTTGAAATTGTAAATCCTTATTCGTGAAATGGAACAATGACAAGGCTGTTCAATTTCGATTTGATATCAATAACGCCCCATTTCTATTCTCCCTCTTTTTTTTTAAATTATCGGCTGTACAAGAGAGTCCCATCAATTTTAAATTCAAACCTTATACATAAAATGAAATCTTGTATTCGAAATACTGCATTAGACGATGAGCACGAAGTGTGTGCACTTTTTTTATTAAAAATATGACATAATTTAAAATATGATTACTAATGAATTGTTGTCAAAATAAATATATAATTCATGCCAAAATTATTGTCGAAAATAAATTATGTTGGAAGATATGTCCAGTAACAAGGCTGTAATTCCCTCGTTGATGTAGTTCATAATTTTTGCCTCAAAACTGCTAATTATCCATTGAATTTTCTCGATTGGAATCGGATTTTTTCTACTTCTTCGATGAAAAATGTTATTTTAAAGTGTGACCGAAAAATTCATGTTATTTCTTTTATTAGCCTCATGATTTCGGCAGCAACTTTCATGCTTTTTGTTCTCAGAACTGTGTAAAGGATTCATAAAATTTTACTTTCATCACTGTCACTTTGTACATCCAGGTAGTATATAGCAGCCATTTCTTATCCCTGTGCACACTTCCCACAGCTGATTGTGACTGTAAAGATGAAAACTACAATGTAATTTCGGCACTCATACAATCTTCGAGTGACATATAATTGACAAATCTCCGAACTTTTTCATCTGTCTTTTGTAAGCTTAGAAAAAAATCGTTATTCTTTTTCCGTAATTATTCTTATCAAACAACGAGCACATTTTTATACGCGATATTTCAATTAAAACGAAATATACCGTGTTGACATACAAAACGAGACATACTGCACCAAGGAACTTTTTTTCAAAAGGCTTTATACTTTAACATAACAGCGCCTGAAAGTTTCATGAAAAAGTGTACATAAAATATCTTGAATCATAGCAAAAAATGCATCATGATTTAGCAACTGATAGTGGATTAATTAGAAAAAAAATACTGAAAGAAAACCACTGGATTTCTAAACTTCATTTAAGATTTATCAAAAATATTTGGTGATTTGGTCAGAGTACTTCCTAGATGAAAAATTACATTTATTGGAGAAATTCCATTTAATAAATAATCCCATTTTCCCTTCCATTAGGAACTAGTGCATTAGAAGCAGCTAGGAAAACGAATCTAACAAAATGATTTCCATTTTAAACGTCACAAAGTAGTGGAACACTTTTACCAGCACTACAAGCACAGCTTAATTGTTGCTCAAAACACTGCTGTGTCAAACAGAAAACATAATGTTAACGCCGTAGGTTAATAATATGACACATAGCATTATCACTGTATTTCCAACAACGAAACCGAAATTCATGTGAAGAGAGATAGAAAAATCTACGCCAAACCAAGTTTTTGTTTCTGTTTTCTCTTTTTCTTAACTATATCCATATTTCGTTCTTTCCAATTGCTTTTTCTCAGCTTTATTGGCCTGTTTCCAACATACTTCCCATCCATTTCACGACAAGCACGTACAAAATCCTGAAAGTGAATAATCTCTAAATTCTGCCAAAATTCAAATCTGGAAAAGTTAAAGTTAGATGGGCAGCAGCCCATATGAAAATGAATAATTTAAAACAGCTGACATCTTGATGCTTGAAGGAAACAAATCCATAGCCCTTCGATTTATTTGTTCTAGCTTCTCGAATGACTTTAGCTTTTTGGAAACTAGGATATTTACGGAAAGCCTTTGCCAGTAACTCGTCCGATACTTCATTTCCCAGATCACCACAAAAGATACGAAAATCATTTGGATCCCACTCTGCCAACGATTTATCTTCCCAAACCTAAAATATAGAGATTAAAGGTCAAGAAAGAAGTTTACTGTTAATGAAACAAAACACAGATTTGCTTCTCTGAGTATGAAAACATAAAATCTAAGTGAAGAAAAAAAGCATCATTTTATCCTACATCTTTATTACCTGTCCACCACCGCAACGCAAAAACCGTTTCATCTTTTTCTCACCACGCATAACTTGACCAATATAAGTAGAGCGATGAGCTGATTCGGAATGCATTTTGTGTGCAATGGCTTCTATGTCAGATGCTAGCACCTAAACGATAGTATGATTAGCTTCCACCAACTGCCATCTTGAATTCTGAATAACCAAAATAAAAATACTATGAATTGTCAGTTATGTCCAGTCTTTCAATGTAACACGGCTGAAGGAATAAGTGCAACATTTAAAATGTATAATTTTTAAAAAATGATGTCAATCAAAAATTACGTTCAATATGCTAAATGATTAGGTCAGGTAGTTAAGATAAAAAGGATCTGCATAATTCAGTAACCTGAGTTTTCAGCGAACTCGTTCCGATTTCTCCATCTTTCTCTCCATTTTTGCCATCATCCTTCCTAATCGCATCCTCGTACAAACTAGGCCCTGATTCAAGAACACTTGGTTGAGGCGGTATATGCACTGATGGACGTATAAAACCAACTAATGGTAATCGAAGCTGAAATTTAAAAGGGAGCATTAAGGTGCACAGTTAGATACTGTTGAATTTTCTATATCTAGCAGTGTGAATTCGATATAATTATAATTATGGTAAAATAATTAATCCACAGTTTTACCTGAGGTGGTATGAATCGCATTGTTAAATTTGTCTGAGGAATAAAACCTTGGCGCATCATTACATGAGGTATAAAGCTGCAAAATAGAAGTTATTTGAAGAGATTATGCTGACTTGAATAAATCTAAAAATGTCCAATCTCGTTATAATAGACTATAGTAATTAGATATGAAATGATGATATATTAGAAATATAAATGAGTAGATTATATATACTGAAAAAATTTTGACAAAAGTGCACGAAGTAAACTTACGGAGGAGGTGCTGGACGCACCACAGGATTTACAGAATTCCCTATCACAGAACTGCTAATAAAAGGACCCATAAAAGGCTTTGGTTCAGTTCGAATAGCAGGACCGATGGATGGCTGTACTGATGGGTGTGCAGAAATATTATTAAGGATAGGAGAAACTGTTGTATTTGGGGAAATTTGCGAAGCATCAGCTTGAGATATGGGTGCATTTGTTGCAATGGTACTTGCAGTTCGAGTATGTGAATCTACAGATGATATTTCTTTTTCAAACCTAAAGAAAAAAATAATACATAAAACACAGGTTCATTATTAGTGAAAAACTTGAATCCAACAAAGATATGTGTTATAATTTACAACGCTTGCTGCATAAAATAACTCATAAAAGACCTGTACTTCTTTCTTTGAAAATACTAGCAAAATGAAAGAGAAAATTTTCGTGATAAAGCCGAATAAGCATCATTAATGTCCAATCATCTAGCGTAGTGTGTCTCATATTGAGAAGTACAACTGCTACCGACACAGCATTGGATAGGATTTTGAAAACTAATCAATGAGTCGTCAAACAGCTGCGTTTAATAAAATTTATTTACTGGTTAAGCCGAATAACTACATAAGCATGCATACAAAATACGAATAAACTAACAGAGCCAACTCATCCTCGATGCTACGATTTCCATTCATAATCATTTGCAGCTTGTTGCCCTGTAAAAAGTCAAAATGCCATTTAATGTGAATAATAAAATTAATAAGTTGATTGCAAAAAAAGACTGTGAGATGCAATTCAACAACCGAACTGTCACACTGTCCATTTCTCTTAAAATGCCTGACACAACATTAAATGGAACAAAATAATATCGTCAATACTACACAATACAATCAACGTAGAGTACCACGACATGGCGTCGTGTAGCGTAATATAACGTGGCATACTTCCCAAGTTTACCAATCACTTACCTGACCTTTTAAGCCCATCACCTCACTAACACCCACTATTTATTAATTTCATTACTCTTTCAAATAGTCATATTACATCTGAGACTAACGAGCGAAGAGAGAACGAAAATTGCAGAAACATTATAGATTTGCAGAACTAAAAAATAGCACAGTAGTGTGAGAGACGCGAAGGGTTATCAGAATTTTTGAGATAAAGAACTGGCGAGCGGAAGGAAATGGATATCTCAGTTTTGGGGTTGACCCTGAAGGTTAGCATTGAAGTGGCGGTAAAATGAACTTGCTTTTTGTCGTGTTGAAAAGTTGGAGGTGAGACAGTTAGTTAGAGCGACCTTAGGAAAGAATGAGAAATAGAGTTGAGATCGTAGATCTTTCAGTTTTCTAGCGAAGGCCTTTTGCTGATACAGATATTGATACCTTTCAATATTTGATGAGAAAGTAATGAAAAAAATCGATACCACCGTTTGTTCATTTCAGGTTATCATCCTACTCAGTATCCGATGAAGAGAAGTGCTGCAGCTGCCGCTAGCTTATTCGCAGACGATGACGATGATGGCGATGCTGAATTCTCCCGTAAGCTTCTATGGTATATCGAGAGTATGTATTGTCCCTCGAGTATTCATTAGGATACAGCAAGATACATGGAATAGTCACTGATTATTGGATTAACAGATGAGAATGAAGAGCGAGATGAAGAGGAGCAGTGTGTGATAACAAAGGATTTCCTTGTCGGTTTGTCACTAACAGACAGTAAAGATCGTGCTAAAAGAGAGCGATATCGTGATTATGTCCAGTCGATGTTGGTACTCGGTGAAGGTGAAGCGGTCATTGATCTTGGCGTTTCATCTGAAGATACTACAAAGCGAGGTATGAATTGATTAAATGAGCATTCGAACCATTCTGACTCCTAAAGTAACGTTTAATTAGTTGAATTCTTTGGAATGTTGCAGGTCTGTCGAAAGATGATTTAGAATTGTCAGAGAAGAAGCACATAGCACTTTTAGAGGGGACTGGAGTAGTGTCGACACGTTTATTGACCAAACAGCAGGGTAGCCTTTATACACGTGCTCATCTTGTTCGAAAGGAAGTAGATCCTGATGATTTTATCGAGGTTTATTCTTGTTTCAGTGTTTTAAAGAATCTAAGCTTTTAAGCAACTACAATGACCAGTTTATGTTTGATTTCAGGTGCGCGTGGCCGTTGTAGGTAATGTGGATGCAGGAAAGTCAACATTATTGGGCGTATTAACATATACTGTTTTGGATGACGGGCGTGGGCAAGCTCGACAAAAGTTATTCCGGTAAATTGATTTTGGTGGCTCACTATCACGATTGTCTAGAATCGATCTGACAACCACTTGGTCATAGTGTGCTTTCATTCACGGTAGAACTCCTACTTTCAGACACAAACATGAATTTGAGTCAGGTCGAACTTCATCTGTAGGAAACGACATCCTAGGTTTCGATATTAGCGGTAATGTTGTCAATAAACCCGACTCGCACAGTGGTCATCTTGACTGGATTACCATTTGTCATAATTCCGCTAAGGTAATTTTGAAGTCCAAGAATGGTTTTTCATGTTATCCGTTATGATGAAGGTTTTTATCTATTCATTTTATAGGTAATCACTTTCATTGATCTAGCAGGACACGAAAAGTATTTGAAAACAACAATATTTGGAATGACTGGACACGTTCCAGATTACACGATGTTGATGGTATACGTTTTTTTATGCTGTTTGAATTTTCTGTAGAGTGTGAGAATACCTTATATTTTTCGAAAGTAAATTTCTTTTAATTATAATTAGTCAAAAAGCGCTCGATATTTTAGGAAAATCATCCATAAAGGTGAAAAAGTTGGAAAAGAAATAAAGATTATGGTAGAACTTGAAAATGGAATAAAAATTAGGCTAATTTTACATTTTTTCGGTAACGAATGGGCTCCTTAATTTTTAAAATTTGTTCAAAAGCACTCCTTGCCTTTGCTCTACGATCTGACGAGTTAGGTCAGACATCATCGCCTGAACTTGTGAATATTTTTTTTGGTACTGTGGATAGTCGTTAGTCTGAATACCTTTCTGAATACCTTTGTTGATAGTAATTTAAGAAATAAACGATATTGAAAGTAGTGTTCCTTATTGTCATATATTATGTATCATATCATTCAGTTTTCATTATTTTCAGTGATACTGGCTTACTTTCTGATGATTTTAAATATAAAATTAACAGGACATAATGTTAATGTTGTAATTTTCTCTGATATGAAGCACAGTGATGTGTGGTGAAATAAGTAACATTACTTAATGTATTATAATGTGTTGTTTAATAATATTTCGCAACTGAAGATTGGTGCGAATGCTGGTATTATTGGAATGACAAAGGAGCACCTATCGCTTGCTTTGTGCCTCAACGTGCCGGTATTTATTGTTGTTACGAAAATCGATATGTGTCCTGAACAGGTAAAACTTATTTAATTTTCAATTTTTATCTTTACCGGGTTTTCCATGTTTGTGAAACATAGTTCCCATAGTATAGCAGTTTTATTGATTCTATACATAACCACTTTGGCAAAGCTGTCCTTCCTACTTCTTTTACTCTAGGAACATATATCTATTGAGAATCTATCTGTTGTTATTGAAGGTTCTGTCTGAAACGATGAAGAATTTGGATAAATTGATGAAAAGTCCTGGAGTACGGAAATTACCAGTTGTTATCAAGAATTTGGGAGATGTTGTTCATGTCGCTAGTAATTTTAGCGGTGGAAAGTAAGTTTTGAAAAGGAGTAGGAAATTCAGCTTTTCTGTTTTCTCAGCAATCGTTAAGTTGTATTTTCATCTGAATAAGTAACATTTTCAGGGTCTGTCCCATCTTTCAAATATCGAACGTCGCTGGTACCAATTTGGATTTACTTTCCGCCTTTTTCAATCTCATCCCACTTCGACGAAAGTTTTCTTTGGATAGTCCAGCCGAATTTCAAATAGATGATGTATATTGGGTGGATGGTGTAGGTACTGTAGTCTCAGGCACATGTGTAGCTGGTAAGTTATGATATTTCTTGTTGAAACGAATAGTGCTTTTGAAAGTTTTCCATCTATTGCAATAAAAAGTATTTAATTTCATTACCGCTTGGCAGTACGTTATAGAATAATAATTTGGTGTTTTTAGGTATGATTTCGCTTAACGACACAATGGTAATTGGGCCGAATCCTTATGGAGAATTTATTTCAATCCCAATAAAATCCATTCATCGAAAACGAATGCCGGTATCAAAAATACGGTGTGGTCAAACTGCATCATTTTCCATTAGGTAGAATTTGCATTTCTGTGAAACTAATGTGCTTGTTTTTTTTGACAAAAAACCTCACTTTTTAAACAGAATTCGGGTTCTTGCATTTGCTAAAGAATGATATACCGTAACTTTTAACTGAAATATCCTTAATTCAACACATGATGTAGAAAGTTGAGTAAGAAGGAAGTACGAAAAGGAATGGTATTACTTTCTCCAAAAATGGTCATATTTTCCTCAGTGCAGTTTGATGCTGAAATACTCATTCTTCATCATCCGACAACAATTGCCGAAAATTATCAAGCAATGGGTATATTTTCAGTCTTTTCCTCGATTATCTGATTATCATTTTCAGCAAAGTGAGTAACATTTTTGAAGGTCGAATATCTTCAAGATTTAAATAATCAAAATATCAGCAGTTTCTTTAGAATCCAATAATCGGCTAAAGAACTAAGGAGGACAGGAGGAACCATATTTTAATAAATTGCTATTTTAAAGCTGTAAACTAAATTATCATTCTCAGATTGAAAATGTTTAATTTGAATTTCTATTTTTAGTTCATGTTGGTTCGATTCGCCAAACGGCAACCATAATACATATGACAAAAACAGTATTACGAACGGGAGATCGCGATTTAGTAACATTTAAATTTATCAAAAATCCTGAGTATCTATCAGTTGGGAGTCGTATGGTATTTCGAGAAGGTCGGACAAAAGCTGTAGGAACGATCATTAAAGTTTATCCATATACTCCTGCACTTCCAAAACAGCTTCGACCGAAGCACATGAAATACAAAGGTAAATTATTTGTATTTTCTATACCGTCAGCTGAATTTTCTTTTGTGCAAGATAATGATTTATATAATTGTTTAAAATAGTGCAAAGAGCACAAAAAACAAACCAAGTTATCATACAGGCATAGTGATAATATACAAATTATGTTGATGGTAAGAAACATATGACTCAAAGTGGCGAAACATAGTTCAAGAGTTTTAATATGTTTGTTTTACTTTTACAATTGTCATCGAAAAAGTTCGTTAAGCAACAAGCAAAGGATCGAACAGATTAATACGAACGTATTGCAGAGGGTTGGCATTGTAAAAAAGCCTTTAACAATAACACTGGAAAAGATAAGGAAGTGAACGCAAATTAATACGTTGAATGCGAGGTGAAAAGTGGCTTTGTGCAACTGTATTTGTAAAATTGTCAGAGATATTACTGTAAATACATATTTGTTTCATATTATCTTATTGGTTCGTTAAACACAACATTTTTGTAATGTCTTTAGAATTCTGGATATACTGGTATTATTTCAAATACTCAAAATTTTTATTGTAAAGCATTTACAAGTTTCTGAACATAACGTCAGTTTGAAATCACTATCCCTTATTGTTAATAATGAGAAGTTTATCGTTAAAGTTAATGTTTTCTAATTTTTTTTTAGTTAATTTTTCTCCATTTGTTTGTGGTTTTCAATCCCTCACAGAAAATGAGTTTTCACGGAATTTTTATAATGATGAATATTATTAGTGCTAGATCATTGTAGTGATGTGATTAAGATCTATTTATACTAAAAAATAAAATGCTGGCAATAAAATTCAGAGGTTATGCTGTGTTCTTCATTGCTTTTCACATGTTGAGGTATGAGGTATGAATATACTGGACTGTGAATGAATGTGACTGATATTGATTTGTTACAAATATTGAGTATTGAGTATGGATAACGACTGTCATTGTATGACTTCGAACATCTTATAGGGAGGGACTGGTGAAGGAGTATATGATAGGGTGTTGATGTTAGCAAAATATCATGAACAAATGAATTGTTTTGATAACAATGGGAATAATAACGGAGTATAAATAAGCTTATGGTCCGACAAAGTTCTTTTTGGTTGGTGCATTCAAATTTCCGAGTCATGTAATTCCTTTCATGAATTCCAGGTTAGATCGTGATTTCATTTTTTGTCAATCAAATTTTTAAGGTCAAGATTGAGTAAAAATTTGTTAGCAGGTAAGGAGAATTTCAAAGAGTATGTGGAAACTCGGGACTCTGTTGTCGAATTTAATGCATTTAACCGACAAAATCAGCCATTTTCTCCAATTGACCCGTACTATTATTTATGCAGTCTTATGGTACTTATGTCATTAATAAACTGAATGGTTAGTAATGAGGTTTGAGCAAAGTGGCATGAAATTTGAATGAGTTTGCTTTTAACTAATTTTACCAGCTCGCCCTCTCACTTGGCATCCATAAAATGCAGTGTGGTATTCATCTATAAAGTTTAAAACGGGTTTGGGAATCTGGAGTATGATAAATTTTTACTAATGATATAAATTGTTTTTTGGAGGCATTATTAAATCTAAAAATGCTACAGTGCTCGGGATAAGACGGGGCAGTGCTTGAGAATATCGATATGGAATGTTGTTTTCATCATTTTTATTGACGTCAGCGACCATATGTCATATATCCATAGTATCCCGTACCTACCGGATACTGGCCGTAGTATGCGGCCGGATATGCGGCTGGATAACCGCCATACGTGCCATACCCGTATGGCACCATTGCTGAAGATTTGTCGTAATAATTTGGCATCATATATGCACCATGTTTTGCTTCAAAAGCTCGTTCTTCTTCCTCCTGAAAGTTATAGAATTCATTTTCAAACTGAAACGTTAGCCTGCTATTAGCACAGCGATGTCAATAAATTTTGAAAACTATTGCATTCATTAATCACTTCTGAGGGAATATCAGTATAATATTGGTGGAATGTAGGAGATAAAAAAAGATGCAAAGGAATTCAAGAGATAGAGTTTAAAGTGGAATGAAAATTGTGAAATGAGTGGATCGTATGTTGGAGAATAGAATCAGGTCATGTGGAAAGAATGGTACATTATAGTAGAGAACTGATTTAAATTGACTGGCATTTTTTACTTTTGGAAATCATTATTTAAAGTTTGAATTGCAATGGCAAATCAATTTCAAATTTCAAAATTTGGTACTGTATTTTTAGCGCGACTTTTCAAGTAAATATTCTCCCAATGATTTAATACTACAGTAACAAATAATGTTAAGTAACGATAAGAATAAAAGAGATAATACTTGTGGTATTTTTTATCAATACTTGAACAAGAAAGAAAATAGGATTTGTTACAAAGTTAAGTATTCATTACAAAGTTAAGAGATTCTGTTTTATCGGGTGGAGAAAATTGATATAAACAAAAAAAAAAAGCCTAGAAACTATAAATAGCACTCCGTTTTCATAAAGTTTCCTTTCAGTTTGTTTGTTTCTGTTTGGCTTCACTGTTAATACACTGATTTATTTATTATTATTGGTTTATGAGATTTAATAATGCAATAGCAATATAAGTGAGAATGAGAATGGAAGGGAAGAAAGATAAGAAGATGGTAAGATGGGAATAATTTTGTTTAGAAATAATTTCATGGTCACCCCCTGCATATGCATGTGTAATATGTATATGCGCAATTTGTCCCATTATTTTCTTCATCTTGTTCTTGTAAAGAAATTATAGAAAGACATTAAGAAAGAATGTTGTACAAATTAAATGTAATATGAAATATGTGAAATGAGAGAGGGAGAGAGGGATGGACATGAAAGACTGAAATATTGAATTTGCGGGCATATATGGCGGAATTTTTCAGCATCGTTGATATCAGTTGAGTTCAAGGCCTTTTGTGTACCGCAAAAGATCACAATTTTGGCTTTGGAAATAGAAACCGCTCTATATCAATTAAACATACAAAATAGACATTAGGCCATACAAGAGTGATCAAAATACTGCACGTTATCCAAGCATAGATTGAACAAAGTAAGGAATAGATTAATGATGATGATGATTTATTAGTATTCACTGTGAATGTATACGTACACGCTATTTCTGTTACCCTCTGATTAACAAATATTTCTCTTTATTAGTATGAATGAAATGATAATGAAATGAATAAATATGCATAAAATGGGAATTCGGAATAAACTAATGGAAAAATGACGTGCGTTATATCGTAAAGGTGTTTTGGCCGTTAATAAACGCTACTAATAAATACCAATTGCTTCGAAGTGTCAACTGGAATTTGAGAAATGAAAGAGCAATGGTGAAATGTTCATTAAATTTTCAAAAAATAAGAAATTAACCTTGATTTTTTTGTAGGATAATAACATGAATGTAGACGCAAGTAGTATGAATGCAATACCAACCCAGGATACCACATAAGACCAACCATAGTTAAATCGTGTTCCTTGCTTCAAAATCTGAAATTTTTTTTTGTTTATTTACCAGAAATTATTACTCATTTTTATAAAAATTTAAATTAAAAATTTCTTCTTCTATATTATCTTAATAACTTAATAAACTCACCGGTTCCCAAGATTTATAAAAAGGTGGCATATCAAGTACATGCCTCTCCAGATAATTCACCAAATGCCAGC